CATGACGTCAGGGACATGCTAGCAAGGTTTTCTCCCGCAGGAACAGAGTTTGCGACGGGTCTTAGAGATTCAAGACTGACTTTTAAGTTGCCCTGAACCCAGTTAGGCTGAAATGATCTCTGCGACAAAGTAGTGACTCACCAATCTTTGCAGAGTTTAAAGAATCTATAACAGTAAGGTATTAAAAACAAATGCATGACTTTGTGATGCTTTGATGATAATTTTGCAAGTAATTGCAAACTTATAAATTAATTGCATACTTATAAATTATCTAATAAATCGACCTCCAGAGCACACCATCACATTAAAGGAATTATTTGAAAGGAGTTAGTGGGGTGCTTTGGGATGACATGACTGGTCCCTTCTTACTAGTCACGGGCCCGAAATTTGTCCCATTTGTTTAGTGTTTCTGTTTCGTTCTGCCCATTCAAATGCCACAAAAAAAGAAAGGCCCCTCCTGAAATGGATATGCAATCAATATGAAAGGCAGGTGGGTCTGCCTTTCAGATGGATTGCGTGGGGCCTGGAGGGCCTGCAGCTGAATGCAGAGTACGGAGTGCTCCTTAGTGCTTGGCTGCAGACCACACCAGACCTGGGCATGTAGGCCAGGAAGCCTGCACCTAAGGCCCAAAGTATCTGGGCTTACGGGTGCAAGCTTTGGGCCTATGTGCTCAGGTCTGGCAGGGCCTGCAGCCGAGCACCGAGTAAGAAACATTCCTTACTTGGTGCTCGGCTGCAGGCCCTGCCAGGCCCAGGCGCGTAGACCCAAAGCTTGCACCTATAGGGCCACAATTAATGTACACAAAACGAAAACAAAAAGCAAATATCTGACATCCCGATTTCTGGAGGTTCTAACAAAAACAGATCGGCCCCCCACCGAAATGGAACAAGGTAGGTCCCGAATGCACATGACTACTTCTTACTCCTGAACCTCGTTGTTACAAACAGAAACTGTAGCAACCTCTAAAGGGCCTCACTTGACGGTGCCAGAGCTGCATTGCATGGAGTAGCTCCCTGAGTTTTAATGGCTATGGGTGTCATTTATTTAATTATTATTTATTTATTTACCATATTTATACCTTGCCCTTCTCAACCCTGAAGGGGACTCAAGGCAGCTTTACACATAGGCAAATATTCAATGCCTTAAAACAACATACAATTCAAATAAATATTAAAATTAAAATTATTACACATTAAAACATTTTATGATGGAGGCAATGACACTACAATTGTGAATACATAGCATAGGCCGATATGAAGTAGCAAGGGATCCATCATTCTAAGCTATGAATCTGTAACTGCAGTGCAGGTTCCCAGCCATTGCTACTAATGTCCATAGCCAAGATTACAATATATTGGCACATTTTTAAAGCAGACTTGAAAACAATTTGATTGCAAGATAATGTGATATCTGCGCTTCAAAAGAACATCACTTTGAGTTTTGCCTATTCTACAGCACACTGGCCTACACATCTATCTAAATTAATAGATGCAGAGAGCTGGGATGGTTTAGAAGTCCTATCTAATCCAACATCCTACTATGCAAGAATACGTAACTAAAGCCTTCCTGAATAATGCCTACCCAACCTGCTTAAAGACACCCACTATCCTCAGAGGAGATGTTCTTCCTACTATCTTAGCTGAATCTCTTTTATTGTAATTTGAATCTATTGGTTTATAGTCTAGTCCTTGGAGCAAGAGAAGACAAGCTTGCTTCATCTTCTAGATAGGAGCCAGCAGTGTTACAATGGGTTAAACCCTTGTGCCAGCAGGACTGAAGACTGAGTTTCAGCTCCCCATGTGGGGACATGAGAAAAGCCTCCCACAAGGATAGTAAAACATCAATAAACATCCAGGCGTCTCCTGGGCAACGTACTTGCAGATGGCCAATTCTCACACCCAGAAGCGACTTGCAGTTTCTCAAATTGCTCCTGATACAATTTTTTTTCTAGATGGCATTACTTTAGGTATTTAAACAAGGACATCATGTCACCTGTGTTCTTGTTTCCAAGCTAAACATACCCAGCTTCCAAAGTACTTCCTCACAGGGTTTGGTTTCCAGACCTCTGATCATTTTTATAGTTTACTAAGACTCCTAGATTACAAATCTAGCCTGTTTTTTCACAATATGGTTTTGCAATATATTGCAAAAAGGAAGTCAATAGTCATTGTTGGTTAATGACACAAAAAGACAAACACTAGTAGCTTAGCGCGAGTATTTTAATAATGTTGCTTGCAGCATTAATTCCACCAAGATCCATTTGCAGTGAACATAAGAAAAGGCAAATGCATTAAGGAATGAATCGGTCATGGCTGAGACTATTCCACTAGACACTTCAACATCTCCCTTCAATGTCTTGGCTGGGGAGAGCCAGGGGATGCCTAACTGAAATGAATGGAGGTGGTTATGCAGCAGCTGTCTGATACTGCTTCCATGTTACTGACATTAATTTCTCTTTTTTTAAAAAAAGAGGTCTTGGTGTGACTACTAGAACAAACAACAAATACTGTGTGTGTGTGGGGGGGGTATCGTTTCATTTTAAACATACTGGCACTATCAGAATACATTCTTTTAAAAATGGTTTGAACATGCAGATACATGCAAAGGAAAACTATTTTGTCATTTGTTTCTAGGCTGCAATCTTCACCGTACTTGTTTCATAGCATTCTGGCATTTAATTTGCATGTTAAATTGACAGGAACAGGTTCTGCATTAGGGCAGAAGTTAGCATCTATGCTAGTGGTTCTCAACCTGTGGGTCCCCAGATATCTTGGCCTTCAACTCCCAGAAATCCTAACAGCTGGTAACAGGGCCGTAGCCAGAAAAAAATTTCGGGGAGGGTTGACAATTTCGGCGGCGGGGGGGGGGGGGGGGGGGGGGGGGGGGGGGGATTTGAAAATTTCAGGGGGGCATTTGAAAATTTCGCGGGGGGGGGTTGAAACCTGCCTCCTAGCTCACGCTGAAGCAAAGAGCACAGCAGGGGGCAGAGCAGCCTTCAATAGCCTGCAGCTCCGCCCCTGTCAACCACCTCCACCAAGTCTGGCCTCCTTAATGAGAGCATTCAACACACACACACCCCAACTTGGTTGCTTCACTACATCGGCTATTGCTGCAAGTAATGACAGTGTGAATAAATTGTCAATATTTGCTTGAGATAGTGCTTACAGTTCTGGAGGAACTCTTAATTTTTTGCATCTCATAGACTTAGCATGGGGATTTGGTTAACCAGTTAAAATTCATGAGTAAACCAGGTTTTTTTAAAAAATCTGAAACATTTCGGGGGGGGGGGTTGAACCCCTAAAACCACCCCCTCGCTACAGGCCTGGCTGGTAAACCAGCTGGGATTTCTGGGAGTTGGAGGCCAAAACACCTGGGAACTCACAGGTTGAGAACCTCTGATCTATGCAATCACCATTTAATGTTCTGAATTGCTTCGTCTAGAAAAAAAAAGGAAGGCTGCTTGTCCGCAGTTTATTTCTAGACAAGATTCTTCATTTAATTATATTACCTTTGCCTTTTTTGTGCCCTTTTATAGTAATGACGTTTATACTAGTTTCAAAACCAGATTTGTTTTAGCCTCTTCCTTCAGGACTCCTCTCCAAGTACCAAAGCAGGAGTGAAGTAGGAATAAGGCTATTTCTAAATACACCAGGAGATGGCCCACTCCACACCAAATGCTGGCAAGACTAATCTCAGAGCCTTGTTTTTTTGTGTAACAGGCAAGAGAATCTAGGACAAGTCAAAGTGACACTTCTGAGCAACACAAGCTACTGAAAATGGACTATCAGTGCTCATGGTGCACCACATCAAGCATTTTGTCTAAAGCTCTTTTTCTCAAGTACAAGGCAAACAGGGGCAAACACAGAAACTTCTTTCATTCATCCACCTCTCCAGAAATAAAGCATCCCTATATGATCCCTATGCAATGAGTATAGAGATGTTTATTTTCCTTCACCTCTTTCCCCAATGTATGAAAAAATAATCTTCACCATATCAAGATAGTACAAGGCATCAAGCTTCTCTTTGATGAAAGAGCAGTCACATATAGGTATCCTGAATATCTTTAGGCCTGCTGTTACTATAGATATGGCAGCATGAACAACAGGCAGTGATAGGAGACGTTTCAAAAAGCACGTAAGGCTTCAAGCCAAATAACATGTGGACTGACAGAACATGGAGTCAATAACAGTGAGGTTGTGCTTGAGGGCAGAAATAAGAGTTAGCATCTTGCTGGTCAGTCCCAACTAGAGTAGATAAAACTAACTGATTCAATAAATCTATTCTAGTAAGCACTGGCAGGATTTAAGTCAAAGTAATTGAGATTACTGGAGAAATTGCCATGTAAACATGTTTTGAAAAAGTGTTTTAAAGAAGGTGGTTGGCTCCAATGTAATAGTGCAGATAACTCTCATAACTAGCAGTTACAATGAACAAATTTGGTTTGTGGGAAGTGCTTCTCTTTTTATACAGTTCCATAAAATTAAATCAACCACCTCAAATTTTGCCTCTGTACTTGGAAATTTTCTTTCTGATTGCCATAATTTCAATAAGTTTTATTACTCCCCAGAAAGTGGTTATTTATGACATTAAACATCACATGTTTTACTATTACTTGTCAAGAAAGAAGCCTAGAAATAAAGAAATGTACATTGTTTTTCATAACAATTTAAGACAGCAGAACACGAGATTGGCAAGTTACTTTAAATGGCAACATCTTATCCAAAGCACTTTTGTATCATAATAGAGAGGCCACGGGAGTTTTGGACCTTCCCCTTCTTCAAACTAACAGTCCCATTTTTTAAAACAGAGAACTGAAATGTCCCATAGTGATTCAAGCAGAGCTGCTGTGACAATAGCATGAGAAACGCCATTTCTAGATACTGCCCAGAAAAGGAGACTATTCCACAGTAAGGCATAAGAGCATAGTAATGCATATGACTCGTGTCCAGTGGGAATATTCTAAGATACCAGCAGCATTTAGGTTTTTTTTTTTTAAAAAAAATATTGCTATGGAAATGTAAACAGTTGTTCCTTAAGCAGAGAACGAGCGAGAGGGAGATGAATTTATCTTTTCAAAAAGCTTTATTGGTGGGGGTATGAAATTCAGGACTCACTGTAGCCTAATTATGGAAAAATCAGTACCAACTTTGCATATAAACATGCAATTCAGTTCAGTACTATTTTATTCAATCTTTCTCACATATCATTTTGAATCAACCTTTTCACAATAAGAAATATGGAATAGAATATATGTTTTATAATATTCTAGGAAGATCACATTCAGTTATTAACAAAAATTGACACCAGATCAAAACATTGTATATTTAACATGACAGCTTTTGATACTTTGCTTCTGTGTGATGAGAGTTCGAGAAATCAGTTCAAGTCACCTCCTGATCTACACAGATCTAGATGGAACTGATGGCAAGGGAAGCCATTCTGGTGTTTCTCTCTATGAAAAGCTACTTTGGAGTTATCACATCCTATTCCTAGACAATAAAGTGATAACTTTGCGAAGGTGTAATTTCGTATGTAATACCAACAGTTTTAGATTATTGGCACTTTCTAGCCAATCAAAATATTTAAATCAAAGCACAAACAAAAAGCAGCATGAGCATATATTTCAGGTTACGAGTGCTTAGGTTTCCCCATTCATGGCATCTAATTTTCCTATTCTTTCTTTTTAATAAATGAAACCTTATCTTTGGTTTCTTGTATTTTTTCTGTTATTCTCTCTTTTGTTTCCTCCATCTTCCCCGTGAGTCGCTCCTTTGTTTCTTCCATTTTGCCACTAATCATGTCTCTGGTTTCCCCCATTTTCCCTGATAGTCGCTCTTTTGTTTCTTCCATTCGATCCTGGATATAGTCCTTGACCGGAGGCGGTGTGGACATGTAGTCGTTCTTACGGAGATACTTCACTGTGATAGATGTCCCTCCCAATGTCACCGTGTATCTGGCTGGAGTTGCAATCTTGTAAAGAGGGAGGAAGAATACATGGGTCACTTGGACAGTGAAATCAACCTGGAGTTTTTTTAGAATTCAAGAAAGGGCTTCCACTTTTAAGGTAATATTTATTGTCCCTGCATCAATACGGGGAATTACTTGTACTATTATGCTAATTAAATCTTATGACCAAAACACCCCAAGCTTCAACAAGCTGAAATAGGTGGGCAACTACTTTTCCCACCCTTGACTCTTTCCTAGAATGTCTTTTTCTGGCCATTTAAAAAGCGAATTACCTCTCCTAGAAAGATCCAGCAGTGGCAATTGACATTTTAAACCAGTGGCTCCCAACCTTTTTTTGACCAGGGATCACTTGACCAGGAACCACTTGAACAGGGACCACTTCTCCAACATTAGTACCAAAAGGGTTACAAATCAGTTTTTGGTCAACTTTAGATTTGGTTTTATTATTTGGGGTGCCGATTCAGAAAATTGCATTGGACAGACCACATCAGCTCTATTTTCTGATACAGAACATATGCCATCCAGTAGTTGCCATCTGCTTGCCCACAGAAAACCATATTTAATAATCTAGAGCTGATGTGGTAGTACTAATATTTCGTGAGTAGTCAGTCTCTCTCCTCCCGATATCCCTGTTGCCTCGGCAGTGAAAGAGGGCTTTGTGAGACCAGTACCTCCTGTTGCTATGTGGTTTCGAGGCAACGATTTAGTAATGATGAGGCTGTGGACCATATTTTCATTCATGTGGACCACTGCTGGTCCATAGACCACAGGTTGGGAACCACTGTTTTAAACAGATGTTGCCTTCTTAGTCATTTAACATTTCAAGAAAATCAGAAATAGACTTCCAGCTACTTTCATATTTACCCCATACTTCTAGGAAACTGGTGTGTTCCCAGACGGTCCTTGGACAGAATATTTCCCCTGGAGCCAATGCAGTATATGATGGCGCAACTTGCCCCGAAACATCAACCACATACTCAGACCATCTGCATGAGGCTTGAACAGCTATAATAGCCAGCTCTAATTCAAGTAGACCAGTATTTTCAAGGTCCTTATGCCATGCTAAGCAGGAAACAGGATTAGTGTAAACCACAAAGGATTTACAAAGCAAGATACCATCTATTTAATATTTTGTCAAATCTAGTATATGTTGGGATTGAAGCATTTTTTGTATAAGTATGAGCATGATATGGAAACCCCCTTGTGAATTAAATAATGCCATACAACTCTACTTTGGTAGACAGTTTAAGGATAGGTCGCCAATTCAGACTAAACTCAGAGGACATACTTAAACAGACTTAGACCAGATGTATTCACATAAGCTTTGGGGAAGATTGTGAGTGCAGAGAAGCACTACAAAAGGGAGAGAAAACAAGAGTCTTTGGACAAAACGTTGTGGAACACATTCAATGTTGCACCTCAAGAACTTTTGTTTTCTTAAAACTTCTGCAGCGGCATATTATGTAACAAATCGAATCTAAACACTGAATGTTAGTTACATTAAACTGTGGAGAAGCAAGACAAATTTCACTCAGAAGAATGGTTTTGGAAGAATGACAAGTTTAAAAAAAACAACAGATTTTCAAAGCAAGAAGACAACTTTACCTTTAAAAGGACTAAATAAGACCCTTTATGTGCTTTTGATTGTCCTCTCTAATCTCGTACCCTGTGTGCTCGCTCTCTCCTCCCACCCAGATCTTTGTTCCCAGTTTTGAGTTCCACATAATGACATATCATCAGGAAATTTGTGGGAGGACATATACTAATTCCTGTTTCAATGAGTGCTGATGGTTTGGCAGTTTGTATCTACTTATAACTGCTCTTTGCCTCTTGCATCAGAACAATCCCTTACTTCTCTGAATGCATTTTGTACTTGGCAAAGGAGTCAAAGGCCAGAAATCTTCATAACAAAGTAGTATGACACAGGCAATTAGAAAGAAAAATTTAAAAAGCATCGAACAAGCAGATTCTACTGCAACAGGAAATAATGTGGTTGAGAATACATACAGTACAATCAGGACTACCATATCTAAAGGAGTTCTAAATTCAATTTAAAGGAAGAAAAGGATCAAAAATATTATTATAAAGAAGTAGTTTTAAAAGAACTAGTTGGGTTTTAATGTCATATTCATTGCAATGGAATGACAGCTTCTAATAGGAAGGGAAGGAACATCAGTTGGGGTTTCCCTAGCAACTGAGACCAGACGGGAGACTTTGGATAGATAAACTCTCTCTGTAGACTGTGATGGGAGACAACAAATGGGTGACAAAAAATACCAGAACACATAACATCAGTTAAAAAGGTATACATATTTAAGCAATACATATTTAAACCCATCAATAAATACTTTAAAAACCATAATTTAAAAAAATTATCTGTGTCCCAAGCTGTCTGAGATAGACCAGACAATTTATCATTTCAGAGTCTGGAGTGGATGAAGTAAATGTCCTCTGAGTAACAATGAGTCTGGTTTTGGCTGATTGAATTTGATGTTTCCTAGAAGACCTGAATGTACCAAGTGGATTATATGGGAGGAAGGATTCCTGTAAGCAATCCAGACACAAACTACTTAGGGTTTTCAAGGGAATAAAGCAACCTTTTGTACTTTGCCCAGAAACCTAATGTAGAATTATTTAATACTAGTTTGGGTACCTGGTGGTGCCCGGGTTATTAGAATAAGGCATTGCTTGTTTTGGGATGTTAGGTAATATCACGTAAGTTTGGTCCAGATCCATTGTTGACTGGGTTTAGTGCTCTTTAGATAAGGATAAACTACAACCCAGGGCAACCACCCCTAACTTCTTCCAGTGTGTGCAGTTGGCCATGTTGGGCCTGCATGCCAAGTTTGGCTCAGATCCATCATCGTCGTTAATTTAGTGCTCTCTGGATAAGGGTGAACCCCAACTTCCAAATTTCCACAGCAATCACCCCCAATCCTGCCTGTATGCGCAGTTGGCCATGTTGGGTCTGCGTGCCAAGTTTGGCTCAGATCCATCATCGTCGTGAATTTAGTGCTCTCTGGATAAGGGTGAACCCCAACTTCCAAATTTCCACAGCAATCACCCCCAATCCTGCCTGTATGCACAGRTGACCATGTTGGGTCTGTGCGCCAAGTTTGGTCCAGATGCGACGTCGGCTGGATGGACTGCTCTCTGGATGCGGGTGAACTACAACTCTCTGAAATCAAGGTCAATTCCCACAAACCACAGAAGTATGTCAGTTGGTCATGGGGGTTCTCTGTGCCAAGTCTGGTCCCAGTCCATTGTTGGGGGGGGGGGGAATCACAGTTTCTCTAGATATCTATATCTATAGATTGGTGGAATACAGTCACTCCTAGAGGTACCAGTAGCTAAACTTGAAGCCGGAACTTGGTCTGAAGTTTCAAACTTGGGACAAAGGCAGTCCAATGTACAGTACTACATTTGGCTTCGATTTTCAAAAGGCATTCATTCAAAAGAGACACACTATCCTTAGCTGATACCATTACTGAAGACACAGAAAAGTATATTTGGGTGTTATTATTGCATTCTTGAAAACTTCTTTGAAAGTTAGATCTATAGAGCCACTTACCTTGTACATTGCATATGCAGTTAATGCATTTCCACTTTGAGAATGCTTTAGAATATTTACAACGCTTTCAGGCAACCCTATGAATTCAAGGAAAGGAACGAGATTCACTCCTCTGTGAAAGAGAGATGAAAATGAAAAAATTGCAAACATTCCCATGGAAATATTTGGCATGGTTACCAAACATTAAAGACTCTTATATACTGTTTAGTCAATCATGCTTTGCCTGGACCATAATTCAGAAAGCAGTTCTGATTTCATATTAGAGCTTTAGTACTACAACGTACTGCAACATAAAATAAGCTTTTGGAACTGTTTCCAATAAAGATGGGCTTATATATGCATGTGATGGACACAGCTGAATAGGAGCCTATGTGTTTTGCATACAGAAGGTATTTTGCACACAGAAGATATTTGGTTAAAAGATCACACAGCATTCGTCACAGAGATTGGGAGAGGCTGCTACTACTGAGCTATTTGGAGGGCCATAGATCTGAATTGCAATGTCACTTTGCATGTCCAAGTATTTTATCTGCACTTTGAAAGCTGAGGGGCTGAAATATAATGGATACCTTCAATATATAAACAGATTATTACAAGCATACAATCTTACTTACATTATGACTTAACCTTCAATCTATGAAAATATTTCAGTTGATTTTTAGAGTTTCATAACTTTCTCAGAGTGAATACTAATTTGTATCTCATTATAAAATGAATGAAGTACAGAAATTAGGAAATTTCTTCTAAGCCAAAAATGAAAAAGCTAACCCATGCATTATATATTTACCCTGAAGTAAACATTACCAAATTGAATATGCACATATGTATAACTGAATATGCTTATGGCATTCCTTATGGCCTAATATAAAATCCACACAGATGTAATGACTTTCTCTAATATGTATCTGGATTCATTGATCACTGTTGTAAGGCAAAACCATGACAAGAAAAAAGTTCCATGACATTTTATGTATGTATGTATGTAAGTATGTATGCATATATATATAGAGAGAGAGAGAGGGGGGGGGGAGGGAGGGAGATGGTTCAATACTGAAACCAATCTTGCTGTAGCCATATGCTGTTAGGACAGAAACACATTGCTGTGAACTTTACAGAGTGAGGWCTATGATAAGAATCAGTTAGTTGTGTCATTTATGCAAAACCAAGAGTTTAATGTTTGTTACCTTTGAGTGTTTTTGTATTATAGGTTATAGTTAGAACAACATAATACCTGAAACAATGATAAGTTTGATGCTGAAAGCATGAACCTCTGACATCAGAAGGTATTATAATGAAGTGTTTGTTTTAGTTACTCTAACCAACTGGCATTAAGTGCCCTTTCTAAGAGCTATCATTCCAAATGTCATTCTAAATTTATCCTCCCTCAGAGTAATAAAGTACCAAGCTATTTAATATTTTGCTTTAGTAGGATACACCAGATATTCACCCACTATCTTTCCAAGTGTGTAAACATTTGCTGGTTTTTCCTAGATACCAAATTGTGAAAAACAGGTTTGGCCTCTGACAGACTGAACTAGAAATCTACTTAGTTAGAAACAAAAACACAGTTGATTGTGCAACTTGATAATAACTATGGGAATGGAAAATTCTAACATTTGGTACGTCATTTGTATTTTCAACAAGATTTCATTTTTCAAATATATAAAGGTGTTTTCAGAAGTTGTTTATAGCAGTACAATTTCAATGAGCTGATGATGTACAAAAGCTTTAAAATGTTTAGTGATTCTGAAACATTAGCATTTCTGATTAAAGATTGGGAGTTTCTATTTCTTATTTGAAAAAGTTTAAACTGTTTGCTTTATATCCTAACATAAATAACGGTGATTTCGTCTTTACTTGCTTTTTTAATAATGTTGGAAACCACGCTGCATTCTAGCCATGAGAAAAATGAGGATAAATCTGATAAAATAAGTGTGGAACTATGTCTTTCTTCTATGTTAACAGCATGATTAGAATCATATAATTGGAAGCCCAGGTCTCTGCCCTGCAGGGAAACACAAAGCGCTCGTGAAAGATATTCAGCTTTTGTTTAAAAACCTCAGTGTATTCCATTGTCGAATAGCTCTTACCATCAGGAAGTTCTTCCTAGCGTTTAGATGAATCCTCGTTTTCTGTAGTTTTAATATATTGCTCTGAGTACTAGTCCCTGGAGCAGCAAAAAAACAACCATGCTCTATCTTCAATATGACATCCTTTCAAATATTTAGACACGGATATCACATCACCTCTTAATTTTCTCTTCTCCAGGCTAAATATATTCAGTTCCCTAAGCTTCTCCTCACAAGGCATGGTTTCCAGACCTTTCATCAGTTTGGTCAGTCTCCTCCTCTTCCTTCTCCTTAAACTGTGATGCCCAAAACTAAACACCTTATTCCAAGTGACCTCTAACCAAAATGGAGTGGGACTATTACGTTCCTCAATTGTCTTGTCAATTCGACACAGAATGAAAAAGGAATGTTCCCGTTTGAAATAAATAGATTAGGGACTTGAAACAGCAATTAAAACAATAGTAATACTGTAAATGGAATTACTTGAACAAAAAAGTACACTGCGTAATCAGATTGGAATTCAATTTTCCTTTCTTGTCAATAGGGAATTTTTTTACTAACACAGGACGTGCTCTGATTTAGAGAAAGAATCCCTTAAGCGGACAATGGCCAAGACTTTACACACCATGGCTGTTTAGCATACATTTCTGCATGTGTAGAAATTGTATAAGGCAGTCTCTTATATTCTTGCATTCTTATACTAAGGCTTCTTTCCCCCAAAAACTCATATTTTGCAAAGCAGAAGTGGTAAATATTTAATGCCGTGTTTTGAAAAAAAATGTAATTAAAAATATGAAGAAGAAACAGGCATTTTGTTTCATTGTTGAATCCAGCAAATAATGCCACATTCTTAAAAAAATCCAACATTGCAGTGTAGTAATGATCACTGTAAACTGTTACAGAACTGACTATCTAGGCTTGCAGTGTATTTTGTTTTAAAAAAGGTCAAGGGAAGTAGCTAACACCACTTCATTCAACAAATTGTTATAAATACATCATACTATTTCCAAGAGGGTTGGACAGAGCAAGGAACCTTTAGATTCATTTCTGAGGGCAGCTCAACTAGTAAAATACACCATAAAAAATTAAAAACAACACTGCAATCTAATATAACTCCACTGGAAACAAGTCCCACTAAGCTCAGTAAGGCTTATTCAAAAACTGCTCATCCCAATACATAGCTAATCTGTTAATGAAATCAAAAATAAATATTCAATGATGACATGATACACAAGCATACATGCCAACATTGTTATTTTGGCTTCTTTCACATATCAGACACCTCTGTTTTTAAAAAGCACACTGAACAGATGGATAGTAATATGCCATTGCTTCTCTTGGGTAACACTCTGCAGTACTATCACAGTACCTTGGCGAAGAGAAGATTGAAGGCTGAAATGAATGCACCATTTAAATCAGGTCTCTTCAACCTTAAGCTGTTTGGGCCTCCAATTCCGAGAAGCCCCAGCCAGCCTGTTTAATGGTCAGGAATTCTGGGAGCTGAAGTCACCTGGAGGGCCACAGGTTGAAGAGGCTTGATTTAAATATTTCAAGGACTTGTTTTCTGCAACTCCAGAGTGTAGGACCAGGTATAATGATGTTACAAAAGAGCAAGTTTTGATTGAACATTAGAAAGAACTTCTCAACAGTTACAGCAGTTTGCAATAGGATCAACTGTGTAGAGAGGTAGTGTGGTTTCCTTCTTTGGACACCTTGCTGGGCAGCTACCTGACAGGATGCTTTAGCTGATGTTCTTGCTACTGTGAAGGGGATTGGACTTGATGGACACGAGGCCCCTCCCTATTCTAGGAAACTATTCTGTGTGCTATGTTAAGATTTGTCTGAAGTTAATAAATACAGTGATAATGAATTCACTACTTACTTTAAAGCTGCATAGTAAAAGGCTCCAAACCATAGGCTGGAAGTCAGAAGATGGACTGGAATAAGAACTTTGCCATACTGTTTAAAAGTTCTTTTGAACCTCTGCACAAGGCTAATTGATTTATCTTGCAAGGGATCAATCTCCACAGGATTTGGTTCTACAGGTGCTCCCTGAGCTACGTTTTCAGTTGGTGGGGTAGAAGTCTCTCTCTTCAGTTCTTTATCACGAGGGTCTTCTGGTTGTGGTGCCCCCCTGCCCACAAATTCCCGTTCCTTGGAAATGCAAACAGCAGCAGATTCATGAAGACACTGGCGTTGGATCTGCAGAGGCACTGAAACCATTTTTTGTCTTTTAATGAGCAAGGAGGGTTGTCCTTTCAAGCATGGAAACATGCAAGTGCGATGGGATACCAAAGATGTCCTGTACGCCAGCTGTAGTGATCTCTGCATTTTGGTTGAGGGCAACAACATATTGAAGATACTTTATATGACTCCTAGGAAATGAAACAAGTATAGGGTTAAATTAAAAAAAATTGAAAGCACTGTCCGTTCCAGATGTCACAAGGATAAGACAACAGTAAACACACTTTTCCAAAACCATCTTGGTAAAGTCAGAGAATTAACTACAATATGATTTTTCCCTTAATAGGGAGAATTTGAGCATTATATAGAAATATGGAGAAGTCTGAAAAAGTTTCCCTTGAACATAAGAAAGAATTTTCAACATGGTTTCCCCACAGATGTTTTATATACCTCTGCTAAGGAAAGAATTATTAGTTATCTTAATAACTTCCAGATTCTCAATAAAGCCATTCTTGTGGAAATGCATGTATGAATAAGAAACAATGCTCAATCACATTTGGGAGAGGTCTGATCTAATTTGGAATTATACCTGATGAGCTGTCGTATGAGAAGACTAAAACTAATGAAGCAAATTGTTTCATCATCATAGTACAAGTTCATTACATCTTTTTCAAAATCCTTGTAACCAGAAGTGATTTGGATTTCAGATTTTGGGGGAATTTTGGAATACCTATATTTGCATATACATACATAATATTGATCTTGAAGATGGCACTCTAGAAACATTATTTGAATGTTTCATATACAGTCAGTTCCCGAGTTAAAAACATCCAAGTTACATCTGACTTTTAGTTACAAACCGGGTGTGTGTGTGTGTGTGTGACTCCACTGAAGTTTTTGCATCGATCCCTGTTTCCAGGAGAACACAAAATTTTCAAAATCCAATTGTCACAGGAAGTGAGGTGAAATCTTCTGAACAGGGCCACAGACAGTGAAACAATGTTATAGGATTGTTAATCCTTCACTATGCTGGTGCTACACTTAAAGCATGTTCCTGTTCTGACACACACACAAATTCAATTTAAGAACAGAACTTATCTGATCTATAACTGGGGAATTGCCTGTACACATTATATACATAGCCAGAATGTAATTTTATACAATATTTGTAATAATTTTGTGTATGAAATCAAGTTTGTGTGTACTGAACTATCAAAAAGCAAAGTTCTTTGTTTCTCAGTCACCCACATGGACAATATTTGAATTCTATAGTGCAGTCAGCCCTCCACATTAATTGGGGTTAGGATCACAGCACCCTAGTAAAAGCAGAAAAGCCATTACGAATTCTAGTGTGTGCACAAACACACACACGCAAATAACAAACATTTGGCAAAATCTTTGGCTAAAATGGGATCGGTGTGAAGAATACACACATTAATAATTGTTGTTTTTATAACTTTTATGTGATATTGTTTTTATACTCATGTACCGTTTATGTTATATACTACACTTGTAGTGTCTTGTGAGCTGCCCCGAGTTCATTTTGGGAGATGGTGGCAGGATATAAATAACAGTTTATTATTAATACAATTTTCTTAGTGTGCACAGCACACGCACCAAAGCCAACCTTTAAACCCACTGTTTCTTAGCCACTGAAGTTAGATAAGAAACTCAGTTACGCCAAGCTTCTAGAGAAGGTGTAACCAACCTCTCACTATGCCACATCTTACAAGGAAAATATACTGAAATACAAACGTAATTCAAATAAGAAAGTAGTGTACAGTTATTCAACTATTCCATTATCTCACCTGGATGCCAACTCTCCCATTTCATATATAATCCATACGAAGAGTATGAACTTTCACATTTCTCCACATAAGCTATTCCTTGTTGCTTTTAAATTAAGAAAACAAAGCAGCAAGGGCAGTTTTGCCTGGCTATTTCCATCTTTATTCAATTCTATCATAATGGGTTAAATAGAAAGGCTGGAAGCATCTGGTTGTCTAAAAGCATTTAAAATCTATCACATGTCACAAAATAATTGACAAACCTGGCCTATGGTCAAATCGGCCTCCACCAGAGAATCCGGCCTTGTAGTCTCAAATGCCCAGTTGATTGTATTAGCGATGTAAGAAAGCTAGTGATACCATTTATTTGTGGGAACATAGTTGCCATAGTTTCTGTTAGTCATTAAAACTGTATGGCTATGCCTATATTTGTATCTACAAATTACATAAAATAGTTTTAATCTTCAAGAAGTGAAGACTTCAACACACACTGACCTTTCAAGCAACAATGATTTCTTAAGTACTTCTTCTACTACAGGATTGTGGACTTCATACACACTCTACTGGAAGTCTCAGGTATGGTGTTACAGGAAAACATGGGAGGTGATAATGACATTTTATCAGTCAATGTCTGATTGGCTTTGGAAATACAGATCTTTCTAAAGGCTTTAATGTGTGTACTACATAAATCTGGTGTACTAGACTGATTTGAAGTTTAGAGCTGCCCTCTACTGTACTTTCCTAGCACTACAACTACTGTGGTGAACTTGTTCTGACAAAAAGTACCGTATATTCCGGGGTATAAAACGACGGGGGCTATAAGACAARCCCCAATTTCAGCCGACAAAATAGTGTGTTGGGGATATACTCGCCGTTTAAGATGAGTCCCCAAACAGCGCGGGCCAGGCCTCTTCTTTGTTGGCGGCCGGGCCCCTGGGCTGCTTCCTGCACTGCTCAGGCTGCTCTCCTTCCTAGGCAGGCCTCGCGAYAATCGCGTCTTCTCCCGCGAGAAGATGTGATTCTCGAGAGGCCTGCCTAGGAAGGAATGCAGCCTAAGCAGCACTCCTTCCTAGCCAGGCCTCTCGAGAATCACATCTTCTCGCGGGAGACYTCTCGSGGGAGAAGARGCYATTCTRGRGAGGCCTGSCTAGGAAGGAYRGCWGCRRAYGCKGCWCWCCTTCCTAGCCAGGRCTRGCGAGAATRGCATCTTCTRCCGCGAGACAACGTTGTCTCGCAGGAGAAGACGCGATTCTCATGAGGCCTGGCTAGGAAGGAGTGCGGCCTGAGCACCATGGGAAGCAGCCCAGGGGCCCGGCATCCAACAAAGGAGAGGCCTGGGCCTGTGCAAAGAAGGCAGGAAGGATGGGAAGCCTGCCCGGGAGGCCTCCATGAGCAAGTCCGGTAATTTTTTTATTATTTTATTTTTATACCCGGGGTATTAAGARGACCTCCAAAATTTMCTAAGGTTTTACATGTCTAAAACGTCGTCTAGTACCCCGGTTTTTACGGTACTTTTACTTTTCTTTGAACTGCTGAAAGACTAATACATTTTGTCATGGCAAAAGGGTCTTAATTTTCATTTGATTCCTTCACCCTATCCAACAAAAATATAAATGTAAACATTTTCCTGTTCACAGTGCAATACACTAATTATGTTGATTTACGTGATTTTATTCCAAATATTTCCTTTAATATTGTTACTGTAAATCATAATCTGAGGTTCCTAATAGCATCTAAACAGGTTTGGGATCAAAAATACTTTCCTAAACTCCAGGGATCTATTTCATCATCTGAGTATTTGCACTGCCTTTGCCATTTTGGACTCAGGAGAAGGAACCATTAGAAGGAGCAGGCGGGGAAAGAAGGAGGATAGATTTCTGGTTGATTTCCTTTCTAGAAAATTTGGGGACCCACAGCTTTCATATTTTGCTCCTAGTAATGTTTGTTTTAGGGCTAGGAAAGACCTTGTTACATACAGGAAGTCAAACTGAAATTTACTTCCAGTGCAATTTTTGCCTTACGAAAACCTTTCCTGAGCCAGACATGGCTACAAAAGTGGSCACTTGGGGCAAAATTGTCTCTATTTCCTTTCCCAAAGTAAAAAGAAAAAAGAAAAAAGAAAAAAAAAGGGGGGGGGGMTTGTGACCCTCTCAGGCCAGTTGGCTCTCAACTTCTGTCAGTTTCCCATTTCCACCCTAAATAATATGGAGAATCATAAGCAAATGATTGCTTGSAGATTGCTATCAAGATTCTGTATCACATATTCTTTGCAGAGTTGAACTAATGACCCCCCCCCCCCAGCCTGTATCATTTTTATTAACAACTTGCTCCCAAAAATTTAGTTATAAAAAGAAGACAGTCAAGCTAAAAGAGCTCAGAAATGTAAAGAAGGCCTTTACATCAACCCTGTCACCTAGAAATTATGGCTAGATTCAAAGCAGGAATACCTGCTTGGGAAGAATAAATGCAATTGTGTTAAGTGGCTGCTCATAAAAGAGAAAATGGCAAACAGACAATACAATTTTGAGGACCATACAATATGTAAGTGACGGCATGTTAACAAGTATGTATGATTTAGTATTGAATGTATAATACTTCAACAACGAATGTATTAAAGAGTCACCACTGATCTGGAGAAAATGGAACTGCTTACCTTTTACAATGCTCTAGGAAATGAAAGATTTTCACAGCAATTATCCTTTTTATTACACTGCTGTGATGTGATCAACTCATTGTACTTCTGATCTAGAAGAGAAGGCCACAGAGAATGGATTAGTCACTTTTTTAGTGCAGAGTCTTCAGCTTCCCAACAGAACAAAACCTATATAAATGCCAGGGCGTATTTCAAAACTGAGAGAGCAATTTTTGAAGCAAACACCAAGAAAATATCTTAGTCTGCTGTCACTTAATGGCTCTAGCCTTATTTGTAGATCAGATTAAACACAATTTCTGACTTAGCAGTCTTCTGTTTGGGTCCAGTTTCAGATAGCTAATTTTTCTCATGGAAGATTTTAAACTTATTAGTTGTATATGCATGCTGTTGAAAATCACTGTGAGTAGACAAACTTGCTTGACTTCAGGTTCCCATACCCTAACTTGGGGTTTATTCTGGAAAATTGATGTAATAAACCCTATACAATGGGAAGAGGATGTGGAAAGCTTATTATATAGCATTTGAGTGGGTTCCACCACTATTTTTCAAACACAATTCAAATTCTGTCATGAAGACAGTCTTATTATCTGAAAATATCCTCTACATACTGACATTTGCATGTCAGAGCAAACAACAAAGAGATGTAGCAGTTAGATAGCTGTTCTCAAAGTTTCATAATGGGTGGAAATTTGTGATAGAGCTTCCTTAGATCCCTACATGGCACCATCTTTCCCTGGTGGTGGGACTGTATGTGCCTGCGAGGCAAGAAGCTACAACTGTGACAGTAGCATAGTTGCTAGTAGAGTATCCCATGTCAGACAGGCTGCAAGCAGGACAGTGAAGGAAACTAAGTGGAAGAAAGCTTTGACAAAAAGGCAAATAATTGTGTCCTAGAGCAAATCAAGTTCAAATTCTTCCTAGAAGTCAACATGACTAAACTTCAGACATATCATGAGAAGACATAACTCACTAGAAAATACAACAATGCAGAAGGCAGTATGACAAAAGGAAGGCCCTATTACGGGTGGATAGATTCTATCAAGGAAGACAGTGCCTTGGGTCTGCAAGACTTGATGATTCAGAGGTTCCTTGTTCATAGAGTCACTATGGGGTGAAGTGGACTTTGCATCAATTAAGAAAAACTTGGCCCTGGCCTTTAATAGCTACTTTAACCAAGAAAAATTTTGATATTTTAAAACCAACTACAGTACTGCTTAACTCTGTGTTTATGCTGCTAGTTCTCTTTTGTTGTGTTAGACCAGGCATGGGCAAACTTTTGCCCTCCAGGTGTTTTGGACTTCAGCTCCCACAATTCTTAACAATCAGTAATTTTACCGGCTGTTAAAAATTGTGGGAGTTGAAGTCCAAAACACCTGGATGGCCAAAGTTTGCCCATGCCTGTGTTAGACAATATGCAATTGCAGGAGAAAAGGCCCCCAAACAACTGACTGTTTGATGCAAGAAGAAAATCTGATGCGTGGGTTTGGCCATTTCCCCCTAAAATTCCATGCTCTGGTATCATATTTCTGCCAATAAGAAACAAACCAGGAATTTCAAGTCCATGGTTTGTGAACCTACACCAACAGTTTGAGTAGTTCTAGTGTAGTTCAACATGACAAAGCAGTGGAAAGATTTACAAAGTCTAAAGTGACACAATAGGAGCCCCAAATAGAACAGATTAATGAAACCAATGGGTGAACAACATTAAGCCAATATGTCAGCAAATCCCTGAGATTCAGCAGGTTTCAGCATTCAGGCCATTGGCTCCTTGAAAACCCACCAAGGGCTGCATGTGGTTGGTGACACAGAGCCAAACACATGAAAAAATGTCTGGCAATCTCTCACTTTGACACATTAATATAAGTTGTATACACTTTTATATACAGCCAGAAATCCATAAATAACAACTAGACATTTTATGTTCTGGTCTAGCTTACCTATCCGAGCGTATCTCTACTTATGAACCATCTAGGACTTTAAGATTGTCTGGGGAGGTCCTGCTCTTGATCTTGCCTTCCTCGCTGATGCGTTTGGTAGGGACAAGAGACAGGATTTTCTCAGTGGTGGCCCCTCGGCTATGGAACGCCCTCCCCAGGGATAAAAGATCAGCTCCCTCCCTTCTAACATTCTGCCAAATGGTTAAGACCTGGCTCTTCAAGCAAACTTTTTCTACTGGAGCATAATTAGATGTAAACGAATATATGGAATGACTGACTGCAACTGGACAACGATTTTAGTAAGGAGACACTGAGGATCTTGTTTTTAGATATATTTGCTTTTTATAATAATTTAATAAATGTTGAATTGTTTATAACTGTATTTTGATATTTGTTATGGCATCGAATAATTGTAGACTGTGAACTGCCTTGAGTCACCTCTGGCTGAGAAAGGCGGTATACAAATACAGTAAATAAATAAATACCTTCCAGCCTCTTTTCAAGTCTTGAGGCAGGGAACACAGAATTAAAATATTATTATATTTATTATTGTTATTAACTTTATTTGTACCCCGCTAACATCTCCTGAAGGACTCAGTGCAGCCTACAAAGGCCAAGGCCCTCAATAAAACAACAGCATAACAAATACAACAATAAAACTCATAAAGCAAACCAAAAAAACATTGTAGCATCAACAGTAAAACATCAAAACAATACATCATGACACATTTAAAACTAGGTCCGGGTCAAATGTAATGAATAAATGAAAAGTGCTGGACATGACAGGTGAAATGTAAGGATTTTGGGGTAGGTGCGATGTGCAGACAATCTTAAATCTCAGATAAAGTGCGTTTGGGACATGATGCTGGGAGTTTCCTATTCTGGAAAGGCACACTGGAACAGCCAGGTCTTCAAGCTCTTCCTAAAGACTGCCAACGTTGGGGCTTGTCTGATGTCCTTGGGGAGAGAGTTCCAGAGTCGGGGGGGCTACCACAGAGAAGGGCCTGTCCCTCATCCCCACCAAACCTGAAGGGGACTCAAAGTGGCTACAACAGATAACTAAATACAACAGATAAGTAAAAACAACAACAACAACAAAGTTTCAAATACTCCTTGGCTCATTTCTATGGTTTCCTGGGAGTTGTAGTTTGGCGAGAGAGCTGAGAAACCTTCCTACAGGATTCCATGGCAGTGAAAGTGGTATCAAAGTGGATTAATTGTGCAGCGTAGATGCAGCCTCAGTGGGCGTGGAGTTCCAACACAACTGCAGCAGCAATAGCGAAGGGGGGCAGTTTTCCCCTTTAGCAAAGGCATTTGGGGAAAGAGGGCGGCTTCCCGCCTAAAGGAGGCTTGGCTCGATTCGTGAGAGTCCATTACAACTAAGCCCACCCAAGGGATGGTTCCCCTTCCCCACCCGAGAGCCACGAAGCGGGAGACCGCGCTCACCTCTCGCAGAGGGCCACATCCCTCAGGGTCAGACGCTCTAGGCGCTTCTCTCTCTGGCCCCCTCCTTCCCTTCCCACGAGCGAGGCGCCATTTGCCCGCCCAGCCTTCTCCGCCCATTCCGGCCGGAAGTGCGCATGCTCGCTGCGGCGCGCGCCTCTGGAACTTGTAGTCCCCGCCCGCCGCGCGCCTCAGAGGCCGGAGGCGCACGCTTGGCACGTCGACCTTTCCGAAGGGAGGGGGTGGGAGGAGGAAGTGGCCGAGGATGACCCCGGATGCAAAACCCTTCATTGTGGCGCTCGGCTTCTGAGTGCGGGACGGTGGGAAACTCAACTTCGGCGGCGTCGGAGGGTGAGCCGCGGGGCGGGGATTGGGCGGCGTTGAGGCCTTTTAGGAGGCCTCTCCTCCCTCCTTTCTTTCTCAGGGGTTCCTTCGCCTTTTGTGAGCCACTGAGGGAGCTTTCAATGAGGCGAGGAAACCGTATCTGCATGGGTTTTTTCGGGCTATATGGCCATGTTCTAGAGGCATTTCTCCTGACGTTTCGCCTGCATCTATGGCAAGCATCCTCAGAGGTAGTGAGGTCTGTTGGAACTAGGAAAATGGGTTTATATGTCTGTGGAATGACCAGGGTGGGACAAAGGACTCTTGTCTGTCTGGAGCTAGGTGTGAATGTTTCAACTGACCACCTTCATTAGCATTTGAAGGCCTGGCTGAGCCTGGGAAATCTTTTGTTGAGAGGTGTTAAGATGTGCCTGGTTGTTTCCTCTCTGCTGTTTTGCTGTTGTAATTCTAGAGTTTTTTTTAATACTGGTAGCCAGATTTTGTTCATTTTCATGGTCTCTTCCTTTCTGTTGAAATTGTCCACATGCTTGTGGATTTCAATGGCTTCTCTGTGTAGTCTGACATGGTGGTTGTTGGTGTGGTCCAGCATTTCTGTGTTCTCAAATAATATGCTGTGTCCAGGCTGGTTCATCAGGTGCTCTGCTATGGCTGACTTCTCTGGTTGGAGTAGTCTGCAATGCCTTTCATGTTCCTTGATTCGTGTTTGGGCGCTGCGTTTGGTGGTCCCTATGTAGACTTGTCCACAGCTGCATGGTATACGGTAAAACTATTAAAACAGACCTCACTACCTCTGAGGATGCTTGCCATAGATGCAGGCGAAACGTCAGGAGAAATGCCTCTAGAACATGGCCCTATAGCCCGAAAAAACCCACAAGAACCTTGTGATTCCAGCCATGAAAGCCTTCGACAATACATACCTGCATGTTGCTTCTTTTAGGGCAGTGGTTCTCAACCTGTGGGTCCCCAGGCGTTTTGGCTTACAACTCCCAGAAATCCCAGCCAGTTTACCAGCTGTTAGGATTTCTGGGAGTTGAAGGGCAAGACATCTGGGGATCCAGAAGATGAAAAGCACTGTTTTAGACCTAATTGTAATGTTTTTAAATTGTATCGTGATACTATGTATACTGTTTTGTTGGAAACTGCCTTGAGTCGCCAATAGGCTGAGAAAGGCGGTATACAAATACAGTAAATAAATAAATAAATATTTCCTTCATCGCGTCGGGGCCTAGAAGGGAGGAAGGGGCTGGTTGAAGTGGCGAAGGGAATGTCCAAGGGCCACCATGGGTGCTCCTACACCAGGCAGAGGCTAACTTCGGCCCTCCAGGTGTTTTGAACTGCAACTCCCACAATCCCCAACACAAGCACTCTCCATCCATCTGCCACTCGCCCCGCCTGGCTGTCAAATTTTTAAAATGCAGTGTGTCAAAAAGTTTGCCTATGCCTGATATACAGTTTGAAGCAGCATAACTTCCTTTTTTCAAAACTTAATAGAACCCGTTGTATGAATCAGAATTTTTTTTTATAATGTAGGTGCATACCTAAAGTTTTGTTTTATGTAGTTTTGAAGATCAAATTAGGTAGGTGACGTCCCTCATTCTCCATACACTGAGTAAACCGATTTCTGGTAATTGTCATGATTCTTGCCAGCATAGCAGGCATTATGTTGGCAATTTCTTCCTGGATGTTGGTCTTCAAATCTTGTAGGGTCCGTGGATGGTTCACATAAACACGGGATTTCAAAAAGCCCCATAGAAAAKAATCACAAGGGGCCAAATCTGGAGAGTAGGCCGTCCACTCCAAATCCGCTCGAAAAGTAGGTCTCAACGGCAAAAGCACGCTCCTCACTGTTCCAACGCATGATGGCGACTGAACTGTGTCAGGACAAAACTTTATACTCCCGCCTCTCGAACGAGACCACTAGCGCTCCGCTACGTCTTCAACTGACTGAATGGRGCGTATTTTAAAAAAGGAAGTTATGCTACCTCACCCTGTACATACATTATATATAATATAAGGTAAAGGGTAAAGGTTTCCCTTTGACATTAAGTCTCGTATCCGACCCGGGGTGATGCTCATCTCCATTTCTATGCCAAAGAGCTGACATTGTCTGAAGACACCTTCAAGGTCACGTGGCCAGCATGACAGCATGGAGTGTTATTACCTTCCCGCAGAAGTGGTGCCTATTGATCTACTCACGTTTGTATGTTTTCAAACTGCTAGGTTGGCAGTAGCTGGGGCTAACAGCTGGAACTCACCCTGCTTCCCAGAGTCACACTGCCAACCTTTCAGTCAGCAAGTTCAGCAGCTCATAGGGTTAACCCGCTGCACCACTAGGGACCCCATATATTATATTATGTGTTACATTATATTATTATGTATAACATAATACAAATATAAACATTTCTTGGGACTCCATGAGAAACTTTGGCTTCAAAAAGGGCTCTGTAGCTGAAAATGTTTGAGAACCCCTGCTTTAAGGGAATCAGATTAGAGGACAGTAGTGTAAACAATACTGAGGGAGATTGCAAATGGTTTAACTCTATAAAGCTCCTTTTATTTTCTTTTTCTATTCCAATAAATCTCAAAAATAGAGGTGCAGAAGGCATGTGTCCTGTACTAGAGTTGACAAGAGGCAAGGTGGGAATTCTCCTGGATTCTGTCAAAGCACAGGTCTTTAGAGTCTCTTCGCTCCCTAAATGTGCATTTAGTTTAGTGATGCATAATAGTTTTATCGGTAAAAATTTGCTGGCATGAAATTTTCTTAGAAATGTCTATTTGCCAGATTAGATTATTGAAAAAAGCAAAAATGTACCTTCTCCTCTCCCTTCTGAATCCAGATTATCTTCTTTGAACTGGATTATATGACAGTGTCGGTCCAGCCTTAGTTGAGTGCTTTTGTATATTAAACTGAGCAGTTGAAGTAAACTGAGGATGAAGAAGAGCAATGGGAGAAGGAGAAAGAAGCTGAGACATTTCAAAAACAGCTGGAAAAATGAGATTACAGAGGATCTCTTAAGTTGGAAAGAGGGTGTGTTTGTTCTGATTTTTTAAAATATGATGTAACACAGTGACAACGCTCACCTTACAATGTTATCATCTAGTACGGGTGTCATTTGGATCTGAGGTCTTCCCTATCAGCAGATAATAGAAATGAAATAATTTCTCTCTGCAGTTGTTTTAGGACCATCTCTGATTAACATGGCTGAAGTATTCGAAGGTGGAAAGAGGGAGAGAAAAAAAGTGGAAGCTGACAGTGTGAATGCTAAACAGTCAATGGTGGATTCCTCTATATTTGAAAATGATGATAAAACTTCAGATAATAAATATTGTGGTGAAGATCAAACAGGAGATGGGAATGCTGCTGGTGACCGAACAAGAAAGAGAAAATGGACTGATGAAACTGAGGAGGTCCCTGCAAAGAAAATGGTGAGTATTTCAAACAACACTTTTGGAACTGTGAAGTTTTAAGTAGTTTGACACTATAGGTAGAAAATGAATGAGCATTTTAGATAAGCCAGTATGACAATACATAAAAAATCTTAAAGTTGAGTGCTGACAAGTTTCATGGTTTTGCACTTCTTTCTTATTGAAATCTAAATTCTTGTGTGGGTTTTCACAGGTGCTCATACATAGTCCTTATACTGTGCATATGTCGAAGTGCATTTAGATAAGACAACTGTGTGTTTATAGATCTCCTGATGCTGTACTATTCTTTCGTGGTATAGCTCAGCATCATTTCAAAATAACAGCTGGTTAACTGCCAATATTTGACCAGTCAGCAAGTGTTGGATAGCCTTCAAAATACTCTGTGACACAGTGTCTAATGAGGGAAGGGGCTTCACAGCTATAGAAAGCTAGGTGTGGAACAGTGTTATCCAGAAGGTCTAAATTGCTCCTTCCATTTTAAATATATCACTAACCATCCCTGCCACGCGTTGCTGTGGCCCAGTCTCATAATCTGGGATATAAAGTAATGAGAAAGTGTTCATTGCTAATATATGTAATTACTTTATGTCTGTGGGTAAACAGTATTTCTTGTTGTTTCTTTGTCAGTGTTGATGTAGAGATTGTCTGGTTTGCCTACTCTGGAACATTCTTGTCCTTCTTTGGGGTTCCCTTTCAAATCTGTGATACTATATATGTTATATACATATGTGTGTGTGAATCATATACGTATATCTATGGCTGGATGGCTCTTTATCAGGAGGGCTTTGATTATGTTTTCTTGCCCTGATGAAAGGAGTTGGACTGGATGGCCTTAAGGCAACATTTCTCAACCTGGGGGTTGGGACCCCTGGGCGGGTTGCGAGGGGGTGTCAGAAGGGTTGCCAAAGACCACCAGAAAACAGTATTTTCTGTTGGTCATGGGGGTTCTGTGTGGGAAGTTTGGCCCAATTCTATCGTTGGTGGAATTTGCTGTGACCTGGGGCCCTGAGTACAATTCTGTTGAACATTACTTGTTCTGGGGGATTGGGGTGTGGAACCATCTTTACACTTCTTCCCTTCTGCTGCCTTATTTTTCATTGAAATGCTGAGAGAACCACAAGACCAAGATGGAAGATATTGGAGCAAAAACCAGTGGAAATTGTGTTTGTACTCCCTTGGTCAAGCATGGAATTTGTGTTGTACCAAAGAGCACTTTCATTCATAGAATTGCTTTTACAAACTCACTGTGAGATAAAAGGATGGCATATAGATATATATGTGATAGGTAGGCAGAGAGTGAAATGATCTACTTATTTGAAATAGGGAATGTGTGCTTAGATTCCATCTTGTTATTCTTTTCAGGTTGGTGGCACTGTTACTGGGTTTCCAGAGGATGGAAAGGACTTGGCTGAAGAAGCAAATAGAGCAACTTTTCCAGATTCTGATATAAAGCCTGTTAGTACTGTAGAAGATCATAAAACGAATAAAGAATATTGTGACACAACTGAAAGAGAAACCCCCAGTGCTTCTGAAAGCAGAAAAGGAGAAAAGAGAAAAAGGGATTCAGAATCTGAAGAGAAAGCAGTGAGTGTTTCCACTGTATTTTTGTCTTGATTTCTGAACGGTAACAGGACATTTTGTTGTTCAAAGATTATTTCGTTAATTTGATAGTTTTTTCCATATCAAAAAAGGAAATCTTTCATCTCCAAACCCCCTACTCTGTGGGTTTGGGGATGAAAGATTAACAGTGTGAGGCATTACTTCCAGAGATGCTGTGTGCCTGAAATCACAACTCAGTGCATGGGAAAACCCATTTCTTCTGTTTTATCTTTTATTTGATTTTATTCAGCATACAGAAGCTGTAGCAGCACACTATAACAAGCTTGAAGAGGTTGGATTACAGCAACGGAGTATGAGTCGCATTTTCTATCTTCGAAATTTTAACAACTGGATAAAGAGTGTACTCATTGGTATGACAGTTGCTAAAGTGTATTTGTATATTCAGATATTCATTTAAAAATAATGTGGAAGTTAAACAATGGAGTTGTCTAAGTTTACATCTGGAAAGCAAATTCAAAGCCTAATTTAATAATAATAATAATAATAATAATAATAATAATAATAATGATGATGAGTAAAAGTAATTATTAATATTTTGAATTTGTACAGCACTTTTTAGTACAATACCAATTACTACTGTATGACTGTCTGCCTGATATCATGGCATGGAAGACATGAATTTCTAACTAAATATAAATGGCAATAATATTAGTTCATCAGCATTTTCTTTAAGAAATGACCAATGATATGAGCAACTTTCCAAGTTTTAGCATCTGCATTAGCACAAGGAACTGTGAATTACTTTCTTGGACTGTAGTCCTATCCATATCGTAGTATATAAACATAAACTTGCATTGTTAATATCTTCTGCAAATGAATCTCAAACAAATGAATATGCATTTTAAGGGAAATATACAGTCTGCCATCCACATTCATGGGTTTCACTTTGCTGATTTAATTATTTATGAGTTTGTAGCTACTGCTTAATTAACTTTACCCCATTGCCCCAATCTTTCTGCTTCCTTGCCTCTTTGCTGCTGTCATTCCAACAGTGCCAGTCCCTTATTCCCTTCTCCACCTTCCCATTGGAGGTTCATCAAGATTTTAAACTTCTTGTTCTATTTCTGCTTCCGCACCTTTTTATCCAGTTGGAAACTCTTTTCTCCATTGCTCCCTTCCCATGGAAGAAGCAACATGCAGATTTGAAACCACTTCATTCCCCTCTCCCAACCTTGAACTTCATTGCCCCATCGCAAGTCTTTGTCTGAATTTAAAACCCTTCCTCAGCAATCCACCTCTTTTCCCACTTACATCTTCCCTGCCCCATCGACACTTCCTCTCCAAGCAGCATTGACATCTTTTCCTCTATTGCTCCTCCCCACCTTTCCATTGAAGCAACATTCTGTCTCTCTTCGCAGAACTCTATGGCTCATCATCTCACAACAGGATTCCACTGGAATGTAAAGCCCTTCACCACCCATTCACCTCTTTCTTCACTCCTTTGGTTTCTTACCACCACCTTATATTCAGGCTTAGGCTTGTGGTGGGATAACAGGCAGTGGAGTCCAGGCTATCCTGGTGATGGAAAAGGAGTGAGATGCAGTGGTGAATAAGGAGCAAGTGGGGAAGAAACAAATGAGCAGGGGAATCTTTAAATTTAGACTGATGCTTCTGAGATTGGCTGGCTGGAAAGAGTGTAGTGTCTGTTTGGCATGTGTGTCCATGCTAGAATTGTTTGCTATTTTCCCACTTTTTCCAGGGGCACAATGTTCCTAACCCCTGCAAATGTGGAGTGTCAAATCTATTTTGGTGTTGAAATTATTTGTGTGACTGTTAAAAGAAAGAACTATTATCAGGAAGGTGTCGTGCAATGTAAGTAATGATCTATCTGTCTTAATTATTGTGCCTCTTTTCCAGGTGAATTCCTTGACAAAGTACGACGGAGGAAGCAAAACATTACAGTGTTAGATCTGGGATGTGGCAAAGGTGGAGACTTACTGAAATGGAGAAAGGGCCATATCAGTAGGCTTGTATGCACAGGTAAGAAGGTAAACACATTTTGTAGGAGATGCACACAGATTCTTGAAGATATATTTTATTTAGTTCTAGCAGTGTTTGCTCCAACCACAGAGAAAAATGGAGAGATGTGTGATCTAGTTTGAAGAAGTTGAACAAATTAGCATTTGCTCATTCAACAGCTCAAAGGACTTTGTGCTTGCACTTTCTGAAGTGCTTAGTGGAAGTGTTTTTAACCTACAAGTTGGTTATCTTTAGTTTAGACGTTGCATAGATGAAAGATTAGAGGCTGATGTGAAGTGTGCAGGAGAGCAAAATGTAAATATATATCCATGCAATGACTAAAATTTCATCTACCATCAGAACTCAAAATCCACATAAATCTTCCTTCAGTAACTTCTTCACTATGGAGTATGATAGAATTGTCATCGATCTTCATGATAAGCCTATTTATTTATTATTTAGTTCACATATTTGTATCCCGCCCTTCTTACCTTTAAAGGGGACTCAGGGCAGGCAGCGATTTGATGCCAATACGTATAAATATAAAAATAATTACAATCAAAACCATACAATTAAACATGAATCATTAAAGCATCAATTAAACTCACGTAATCCAGATTGCAGTCCAAGGCCTGTCCATTTGTCAATTCCATTAGTCGGTTATCCTTATTGCATTCTTTACTGGTTGAATGTTTGGTCCCACAGCCATGCCTTAAGCTTCTTCCTGAAAACAGGAGGGAGGGAGTTCACTTAATTTTATTGGGGAAGGAGTTCCATAGATGAGGGGTCTCCCCAGATGATCTTAACTTCTGAGATGGGTCATAGAAGGAGATACACTCGGACAGGTAGGCTGGGTCGGAATTGTTTAGGGCCTTATAAGCTAAAGCCAGCACTTTGAATTGTGCTCGGTAGCAGACTGGCAGCCAGTGGACCTGGTGTAACAGGGGGAGTTGTATGCTCCCTGTATGCCACTTCAGTGAGCAGTCTGGCTACCCCCCTGTTGGACCATTTGAAACTTCCGAACAGTCTTCAAAGGCAACCCCATGTAGAGCGCGTTGCAGTAATCTGTTCGGAATGTAACAAGAGTGTGGCATCTATAACTGAACCTATGAAAAAAAATGCTTGGATGATAATATTTTACCATATTGTAGATTGCAACATCAAGGGAGAATGCTTGAGAGGAAATATTCCCTGCAAAAGATATGAGCCAACAATGCATTCCATTTGTGGTGGATTTCCATTCAGCATCTCTATAGAAATAATGAAAAGTTATCAATTCTTAGTGTTTTTTTAACACCATCAGCAAGACCCCCATGATTGCTTTTTGATAGCCAGAAAAATCTATGGGGATTGCTTATATTTTCAGGACAGCTTTTTCTGGCAAACTTTTCAAGAATGTCAGGCAACTAGTTGGCTAGACATTTTAATTCAGTACTTTTTCTAATTTGTTAGTGTTTGGTACTGAAATGCCATCTATTTCAAGAATTTGGAGAAAAGAGAACATTTCTGGATTTATGGACTTGAGACCTAAACTTTACTATGTCACAACCTGGAGCGTTCTATGTATATATTGCATTGTCTTGAACACTCCATTCTTTACTTTGGTACAGTCTTTGAAACTTGCTATCCACTACCTTCTCAACCAAAACCTTGAATAAACTGTGCTTTTTATTTTACATAACTGAAGAACGTAGAAGGTGAAACATCTTGTTAACATATTTTAATAGTTCTGTTAACTAATCACAGTATGCATTCTCTCACTTCGTGTATACATATTTTTCATGTGTATGCCCATCAGCACACTGTTTAGTGAATAGGAGAATATCTTGTACTGTTCAAAAATAATTTGATTTATGAACAAATCCCATTGGATTAAGAGGGGTGTCCTTTTGATTCGATGTCTATATTGCAAGTCTCCTGTTTTTGTAGACTACTATATGTTTGCTTTTACCTGGATTATACCTTTCTGAAGATGTTTTTGTTACACATTTTAAAAAACAGATATTGCTGGTATTTCTGTACAGCAGTGTGAACAGCGGTACCAAGATATGAGAAACCGTGGTCGTCGCGATGAGCGAATTTTCAGTGCAGAATTTATAACTGCCGACAGCACCAAGGTATGGTAAATCCATTTCGGTTTTATGTTTTTGAAGTTACGCGTCATTTCCATGATACCTTTAATTCATATATAATTTTAAAATGTTGGGAATGTAATAGGAGGAAATGCTTGAACAACAGTGTGTGTAGAAATAAACCAAGCATTGCATTCTTGCATCAAAATTGTTATCTATTAATGTGTTCTTCATCATACATATTCTATTTATTATGTTGCTGCATTTTTGGTGGGGAAAAGAACCAGTAATATTAAACAGACTTTTGATATAGAAGCAAACTGCATGCAAAACTCTTTCCAGTTCTAAATCTCTCATGCATTTGTGAGTTGTAGATGAAAAAAGAGGGAAAGAAATGTCTAAAAATATATGTTGCATAACTTGTTATTCTGTGATAGCGAAATCATCAAAAATATGTTAATGTAACTGGCTTAATTTCCTATCTATGAGTTCGCCCTTACAATTAGTTCTCCCCCCTTATCTCACCCGGAGTTTTTAAATCATTTTATGTACATGCGGCCCGCCCTTTGTTTGTCTGCCATTATGCTTAGTTCCTATGTTTTGTGCATATTGTTTTATATGCTTTGATGTTTTATATTTTACTGTTAAGTTGTTTATTTGATTGTAATTTGTATTGTTGTAATTTTTGTTCAGGCTTGGCCCAATGTAAGCCGCTCCGAGTCCCCTTTGGGGAGATGGTGGCGGGATACAAATAAAGTTTATTGTTATTTATTATTATTATTTCCTACACTTGTAACAAATATAAAACAATATTAAAGGTTAGAGAAAGTAAGGACTTAATTTAGAGATTGTAAAATGGACAGAGAGTACGCTGAACTCTTTCTACTTTTTCAGACCATTTCCATGATTAGCATACCATAGGAAAGGATTTTAATTTTTTGTGTATTTGTTACAGGAACTTCTGTCCCAAAAGTACAAAGATCAGAACATGTCCTTTGACATCTGCAGTTGTCAGTTTGTGTACCATTATTCATTTGAGACCTATGAGCAAGCTGATATGATGCTCCAAAATGCTTGTGAGCGACTGAGTCCTGGTGGATATTTCATTGGTACCACTCCAGATAGCTATGAACTTGTGTAAGTATGAACAAATGAGGAATTTGGTGACAATTGGGAGTAGAAACTCTCAGCTGCTTCCTGCAGAACTTAATGGTTAAGCAGAATACCTGCTTGTTGGGAAGTGGTTTGATAACCCTTTTGTGGTGTACTGATCACTCACATATTTCATTAGTGTAGTTGTCTTGTTATATTTCCTGCCTGCAGTGTGTTACTTGTACTTTCCCCCCTACACAAATATTCATAAATGGGGTATAAATACCAATGGGCCCCCTGGTGGCTGCTGAACTTGCTGACTGAAAGGTCGGCAGTTCGAATTGGGGAAGTGGGGTGAGCTCCCGCTGTTAGCCCCAGCTTCTGCCAACCTAGCACTTTGAAAACATGCAAATGTGAATAGATCAATAGATACCTCTTCTGCAGGAATGTAACTGCTCCTTGCAGTCTTGCTGGCCACATGACCTTGGGGGTGTCTATGGACAATGCTGGCTCTTTGGCTTACAAATGGAGATGAGACCACCTCCCACGAAAAGACTTAATGTCAGAGGAAAACTTTACCTTTACCTACCAGTCAGAAATATCCTAAAATCCTTATTTGAATTTTCAGGCCCTCAAATAAGTTTCCATCCCTTTGTTCTCATATTTTGTTTCCATTTTACAAATCTCTGTTTCTATTAACTACTTCTACCAGTGTAAAGTAGCTTTTTTCGTTGAGTTCAACAAAGCAGTGCTACTGATTCCTTCATGTTGGGATATCTTTCCTTTCAACAAAGTGCTGTTAGAGCTTTTTACATCATGTAGTATACTTAGCACTACATTATCACAACATAGCACTCAAATGTGTTCAGAAGAGAGTTGTAGAAGGTCAGTAACAAACCAGTTCATTTAAAAGCAAGGTTTATAGACCTTAGCTATGGAAATGGTGAAGTAGAGTCTGAATGATAGATTTGACAGGGGGCAGGTTTCACCTCTATTTCTCCAAGTCTTGCTTCCTTGGTAATGGTAGCCATTCCATTAACATGTGGTATATCATGTTATTCTACAGTTTCATTTCAAAAGGCTAAGAGTGCCAATCGTTCTGCTGTTGTGGCTTTCTATAACTTTATTTTTCTTTTTTCAAAATATGTCACTATAGAAAGCGTCTTGAAGCTTCACAAACAGACTCATTTGGGAATGAAATATACACAGTCAAGTTTGAGAAGAAGGGAGTATATGACATGTTTGGCTGCAAATATGATTTTAACTTGGAAGGTGTGGTTAATGTCCCCGAATTTCTAGTATATTTTCCACTGCTGGAAGAGTAAGTTCTTATTTTTAATATTCATTTTAACTGGAAAAAATGGCTGTTAAGAGTAGCCCTTCTTTGATTCTTTAAATCCATGATATGAATAATGTGTAGCTTTGTCCTTTATGTTGTCAGAGGTAGAGACTCTGGCCTTCCCCTGTATGTCCCTTCTGATTGTCTTGCTTTTGTTGTCCTGTGTAATGTTGCTATACTTTGTTCTACAGTCGCATTGTGAAGTGCTTCCCTGTTTCTATTGTATTCTGTGTGATAGTTCTGATGCTGTGTTGTGCCAGGCTTGCTCGCTCTTCATCATTAAACCTCATATACTGCAAAAAGGTAAACTGTATCAGTTGAAGCAAGCATAAAGTACCATAAACTATAGGTTTTTTAAATAATCGTATCAACTTACAATATTTAGTATTTTAGCTGCACTCTGGAATGTAACAAGTTGTCTATCAATAGATACTTTATTGTATCAGTACTGGCCATCAGAACCTTTAGTGAGGGATTATGCTATTTACAGACCACCAACTTCTCATGGGTCTTAAACGGTTTGCATGAGCTAGAAGGAGAAATGTATGCAGTTTTGGTTGTTCTCAATGCACCAGCTAACTTAGCAGGAGTACAAAAATCTTTTTTGTTATGAACACTGATACCCTTCCTTTGCTTCCTTTGTTTTTTGTCTCCTGCTTTGGCATCTAGCTGCATATTCTCCCCGCTCAAATTAAAACACTTAAAAGAGACTACTTAGAAAATAGAGGCAAATACTAAAAAAGAAAGGAAAAGAAAAGAAAGATAACAGAGACCGAAAAAGACAAAGGAATGCAGATCCCTTTCCAGAGAACAAAAAAAAAAAAAAAAAAAAAAAGCCCTGCAAAATAGGATGACAGAGGCAGGATGATGGTGACGGGCCGGTTGACKGCTACCCAGAAGATATTTGCTTCTAATTGTAACAAAATTAATCAAACCCAGAAGTCTGCTACCCAGTGAGTCCTTGGGGATAAGGATGTGTCAGTGTTAAAAACTATTTCTATAACATATAGTGAGTGTGAATTGGACCGTGTCATTGTGACTTCTCCACCACTAAAAAAAAAAGGGGGGGGGGGAAGCAAACGGAGAGTTTAACTTGAAATTAGGCTTTTAAAAAGCCTAAGTTAAGCAGCAAAGTTTTAATAAATGGAGTTTCTGCATAGGACAGCATAAAGAATTTAATACTGAACAAAAAAATTGTAGACTGTGTGATGCCACCATTTTAGGTATGGATGTTCCAAGGCAGGGGCAGGATGTTCTCAAGCAGTCAAGTAAATACAATTTATGATTCAGACATCTTTGAATCACAGAGTCACAGTACTTTACTGAAAGGAGTAAGCTGGGGAAATGGAAGCGTTAGAGACCTAGCCTTCAACTATTACCTTATTTAAAGTCAGTTAAGATGACATGCTACAGACTGCATAACCAGTGCCACTGAGTCCATGTCTGAGTAAATTCTGTAATTTAAAAAGCAGCTAAATTACTCAATTCAATAAAAAATCACGGTGAAGGAGCCTGTGAAGAAAGAAATTAATTCCATTTTAATGCCAAACAGTGAATTATCATTTAGTGCAGTGGACCAGCCAGCAACCTTGAATATAATGAATTACACAAAAATGAATTATTTATTGCAAATTTATTTAAAGAACATAATTTAACCACATAGCTTATTTAGTATTAATTATTTTATCAATGATCCCAAGGTAATATTTAGTTCATATTTACATAGTTGGGTAGAATATGCTCAAACACAATTGATTCAGCAGATTAAGCAATTTGGAAGATCAACAGTAATAAAGAATGTAGGGGAAAGATAGCATGGTCTACAGAAGAGGAGAGTAATAGAAGGATAAATGTGACTGGATTCATTGACATTGGCTGATGTTAAATTTAGTCAAGTAGATTACACAATCAGAAACAGAAGATGGAGAAGTACCATTATGTCTGTAAAAAACAAGACCAGGAACAGGTGATCAAGACAGTCCTGTTTCATTGCTGGTTTGCCACCTTTGTGCAATAAAGTCCCCCCTTCACAGCATTTGAGAAATTTAACCCAAAAGTGGGGATCCTCTGTGACCAGCAGGGAAACATTACTCAAATAAGTACAAGTAAAGTAAAAAATGAAATGAAAGCTGCACTCAGAGCAGTTGGGAAGAAATAAGTCACCAGGAATAGATGGCATATTGATAGTAATGCTTCAAGCTACTTGAGTTCTAATTAAAATCTATGAAAGAACATCGAACATGAAAACATGGCCCAGAGATTGGAAATGATCGACATGTATTCCTATTCCCAAGAAAGGAGAGCCTAAGGATTGCAGGCCCTTGCAAGCAAAGCAATGCTCAAAATTCTACTACAAAAACTTTTAACATGTGGAGCAAGGATTTGTGTTCAGATGGCGAAGTTCAGAAAAATATGAGGCACTAGGATCATTTGACAATGATCCTTAGTGCCTCATATTTTCCTGAATATAACTTCACCATCTGAACACAACTACTACAGGAAAGAAATTTCAGCTAAATTATTCTTAAATGGTGTGGCTCACCGATTTCTTGTAATCAGGACAATAGGCTACTGTTAGAACATAATATGGAGAAACAATAGTTTCAGATTGGCAGGTGGGTTAGGCAAGGCTGCATTTTATCACTCCTTTTAATTTGTATTTTAATTTGTAAGAAGTATAGACCCAATTAAAGAAGCCATGACTCTTGAGTTTGCAAGATAGCATGATGATAGCATGGCTTGGAGGTTTGTCACTAATAGGGTCACCAGAGGTCAACGCTGTCTTGATAGCAGTTAACAAACAATAATTGAGTTCCCTAAGTCAGCTTTTCTCAAGCTTGAAGATGTGTTATGACTCAGCTTTTCTATTTCAGAAGCTCTTCAGTGGTTCTCAACCTGTGGGTCCCCAGATGTTTTGGCCTTCAACTCCCAGAAATCCTAAAATCTGGTAAACTGGCTGGGATTTCTGGGAATTGTAGGCCAAAACACTTGGGGACCCACAGGTTGAGAACCACTGCGAGTCTAAATGAAGGATTCATGTATTGTTTTCCATTCCCATCTAACAAATGTGTGTCTATTGTGTTTTACTTCTACTTCTTTAACACTATATACACTGTGTTATTCCTACTTCTTTAATACCATCCCATACATGTTGCGTATTTCTTTTCACCTTCCTTTTCTAATAGAGGCACTGGGTAAGCTATAGCACTGGGGCTTACCTGAAAGCAGACAGTTGTTGATTGCTGACCCTCAGTTAGGAAAATAGTAGTCTGATATATTGACGGGAAGATTATGTTTTTTCCTTAAATTTACTTCTGCTGTTTTGAAAATGAAATTATGTTCAGATGTGGTGAAGATTGTATATAGAAGAATTTTTGCCATTCTCTTTCAAACCATAAGATGTCACTATGGCCCAGAATATTGTTTGTTCCTATATAATGCAATGAAACAATAGCTAGTGATTTTGGACTAGTTAAGCACCAACGTTTTAAATAAAACTTATTATTTGCAGAATGGCGAAGAAATATGGTATGAAACTAATCTACAAAAAGACTTTTGAGGAGTTTTATGAAGAAAAGATTAGGAATGGGGAACATAAATTGCTTCTGCAACAAATGCAAGGATTGGAGGTTAGTATTTAAAATATTTTTAAATGTTTACCTTGTTAACTATGCAGCTGTTTTTCAATAGTAATGCACATCTGTTTTACAGTTTTTCTGGATTTATAAAACATGGATTTATTTTATTTATCCCAAGGTTTAGTAGTCCTTGGGTAACCTAATATTTTCATTTGTGCCTAGACAAATTCTCGTAATATAGAAACTAAGTGTGTCTGGGCCTTGGAGCACCCTGCATTCCTTCCTGAATTCCATCATACAAGAAAGTAGAGATAGAGGAGTAATAAAATAATAAATACCACAATATAAGTTTAATTGGATTAATCAGTAAATGTTATATGAAGCCTCATTATCCTTCATATAAGATAAAAGAGTTATTTTAATGATTATTAAAAATACCTCATTTTTAACAACTGTTTACCTCTGATATCAAGGAAGCAGAAGGTTAGTAAGCTTATGAAAAATGTACATTTGAAAGTTCCAAGAGATAAACTCCTTGGTGTCTGAAGAAATACAGGGAGAAACCTTTGTCTGTGTCTCATATTCCAGTAAACAACTAGTGAAGCTGTAAAGTGAGGAATCCAAAACAGATAACTCCTGTGAAGTACTCCCCATTGTGTATTGTTCAACTCATCACCATAGTTATGATTACCAGGTTGGAGGATTTTAAAAATAGATTGGATAAATACATGGAGATTTGGACCATCAGTGTGTATTGGTCAGGACAGCCAACTAGGGGCTGCAAACTGGAGAGTCAAGATACTTTTGTGTCCTACTGGCAACCCATCGTTTAAGCAGACATTTGTTCTTCTTTGGGGACTGTATTGACTCTAGGACACCTTGGAGTAATGCACACCTATAAAAACATTCAAATGGGGGGGGGGGAGGTTGCCCCTTGAATGCCATGTTGGGGTGGGGCTAGTGTAGCTTTTCAATGCAATTTTCATTGTATATTTTAGCTTCTGTATCCATAATACAAATGCTTTTTATTTTTATTTTGTATGGCTTTAAATTTTTACTGTGTTGTGCCAAGGTACTGTTAGCCACCTCAAGTCCCCATGGGAAGAAAAGCGGAATAAAAATAAAGTATCAGTAAATACATATTTTTGATCTGAGTATTTGTGTCAAAATTGCACCCAAGCCCCTTGTAAAATCCCATCTCTTGGTGAATTTCTTTCAGATTTTTTTAAACTGGGTGCGGTACAAAAATGGCCTCAGATACAGTGGGAAATACTTTGCCCATCCCTGGTTTAAGACAACTAGTTGTCATTGTAAGAACAGAATGTAGGATGAGATCCAGCGTGGGTTTTTAAAAAAATTTTTGATTGTGTTTTAGTGTCAAATTTTGGTTGTATTTGCACTAACTGTTGGATCTCTTTCTCAGAAATATCCTGCTGATGAGAGTTCTGGGTTAGCTTCAGATAAAAAAGAAGACTATGAGCATGCAGAAGTGCTCAGGAAAGATAAAGACGTAAAGCTACCTCTTGTGAGTAAATAATACATCAGATCTTCTGAACATAGCCGTCTGCATCACTCTGGTTATGATAACTGATCTTGTGACCAGATCAGTTTGATTATCACCTTGCAAATTCATGATATACCGTATATTCCGGCATATAAGACGACTGGGCGTATAAGACGACCCCCAACTTTTCCAGTTAAAATATAGAGTTAAGACGACTCCCATGCATAAGACTACACCTGCGTATAAGACGACCCCTGACTTTTGCAAAGATTTTCTTGGGTTAAAAAGTAGTCTTATACGCCAGAATATACTGTATATATTTTTTCCATTTCAATGTGTTTGGAAAATGTGTCCTTGTGGGTTTCATTTAGGAAATCAAAAGAACTTACAGGTGGTCAGCTTAGCAATATAGGCCATAAGTATTCAGTGCTCCATTGTGCGACAAAAACAGGCTCAATTGACCAGTACCACTTTTTCTGTGAGATGGTCTAGTTTTCTCTAAATTTGTATGCACATTTCAAAGAGAGCACTGAAGTGCAATGAATCATAGTTTGGCTTTCTGAATTGTGAAAGGTTCAGAGAAGAAATTGAATGATTGAAATGGAATCAGAAAGAGGGAACTGCTTGTCACTGTATATGTTGTCCTCCAGAATATTGCTTTGAGTGAATATTATGGAAGCATTTTTCTGCTTGTAATCATTGGATATTTTCTTTCTTTTCTTTTTTAAAGGGAACTATGAGTACATCTGAATGGGAAGCAACAAGTATGTACTACAAACAATTTTAAACCTTAATGGAAAAGTTTAATTATCGTTTTCAATTGTATATAAGTGTAAATCTGTTTGGCAGCTGCTTTACAAAATCAGATCATAGATATACAAGTCTTTCCTAGCACTTTCAAAGGTTACTCTTATTTACCTGGCAAGCTTATATGCATTTAAGAACCTGGTTGATGCATGGATGTCACTTGATCATATCTTTAGTTAGCATGGGCATTTAAGTAAGTCGATTAATTTCATTGTTTGGCAAATATTACTCTTAATTCAAAGAACTTGAATATTTATGACATGTTGTTTTCAGGCAATTTCTGGAAGATGATTGTGGCCTTGTGTAAAATTATTTAGGTCACAGGAAATGTATGTTGATTTATGTCTCATTCAAAAGCCACATATAGCACATACCTGTGAGTTGGGATGCTTTGTTAGCATATTGGGGTTCACTGACCTGCTTCTTATGCTATTTGCTGTGGCTAATTAGGTTAGATATACTAACATTGTACATGAAGGAGCTGTCACTTGGATTAAAATGGTCTTTTTATGTTTTGTTTGTACATATTTTCCCATGTTATAACAGTATTAATACAGTTAATACAGGCAATTGAGCCATCTTTTACCATTGAGACATCCTTTTCCAGAATATCTGTCATAGGAATGTGGAGCTATGCCCATCTCAGGTTTCTCACTCACAGAAAGGTTCTTTCAGGTTCCTTTCTCTTCTAAACGTTTTAGGAATCATAGTTGCGATACAAATAAAGCAGAGCAGCAGCAGTCACATAAATAACAAATTAGGCAGACAGTCTAATTTCTGTTTTGCTACTTTCTGGTTTGCTACTTGAGTTCACAGTTACACTTTGTATCAGATGTTTTCATTCTTAAACTCTACTCCACATGTTTCAAACCCAAAGCCCACAGGGTGAATCCAGCCCACCAAGTTATATTATGTGGTTTTCCAGAAGCTAGACATCATTTGGTTTTCCAGAAGCTAGACATCATTATTAGAGCTGATGGGAGTTGTGATTCAGTAACATCTGGAAGGCATCAGTTTGTTCTGTTTAGTCAGGATAGTGGGGTTTGAATTTAGATACAAGGGTTGTGGATATGATGCCTGCCTTTAAAATGTCCTTTAACGTTTCCTCAATCTCAGAGCAATAAGGGCTGTTGGGTTGTAATTCCCATTATCTGCAGTCTGCATGACAATCAAAAGTGATGGGAGTTATCATTCAGTAACATTTGGGGACCCAAATTGGGTAAAATCTAAAAAGCACTAACTCTGTAAAAATATTATATTTGGTCCTCTGTATCAGTGGATTCTCCACCCATGACTTCAGTAGCCCTTTAAAGGGAACAGTAAGGCTGTTATGGCCCTAGATCAGCCATGGGAAAACTTAGGCCCTCCAGGTGTATTGGACTTTAACTCCCACAATTCCTAACAGTCCGTAGGCTGTTAGGAATTCTGGGAGTTGAAGTCTGAAACACCTGGAGGGCCAAAGTTTCCCCATGTGTGCCCTAGATGAAATTGATTTTGGGCATCCCTTCTCTTTCCCTCCCTTTTCTTAGATAGTCCAGCCACTCCAAACTCACTGTGTTAGTGCAATTATCAAAAACTTACTCTTTAGCCCCTCTTGACATTCCAAGAGTTGATTTTCCATGCTGGATTCAAAATGCAGCAGTGGACTGGAGTTTATAATTAATTTGCTTTATTTATGGATGTAGAATCAGCTCAGAAAATAGTCCATTGCCTTTCCTTTAAAACTGCAACACTGTATGTATATGTTTTCCATGAATTTCAAACACATTACTAGAAACTGTTTTAGACAGTGCTTAAACAAAATGTGGGACATAACTCCAATCTTTTAGAAGGAAGTACGTACAGACACAAAGGTTTGGTTGTTAAAGAAAGAAAATAAGAACTACCAACAACGTGATTTTTTTGGGGGGAAAAACTTTGAAGTTGGGGAAGGTATTAATTACATTTCTTTTTTTCCCCTTTAGGTATCTACCTGATATTTGCATTTGAAAAGCAACAGTAGAAGAATAAAACAAAACTAAATGCAGTAAATGTGCTTGAGCATCCAAAGTGACAACTATTTTATATTTTTATGTTTAAGCGTGTGCAGGACACAGCCAAATTGGGCAAGCGTACATAGGACTGGTGGTTGCCTGTCTGTGACAGATGGAACACTTGTGTGTATTGGTATATAAATACATGAAATAGGAACTGGGCCTTCCTTTGCTTGGGATCATTAGGTCCTACTTTTTGCAAATAGCAAGCTTTTTGGAAATACTCAGGGTGTTTACAAACACATGGTTGCCATTTGCTGACTGCTTAAAAACCTACTTCATGGCAGCTATTACTGTATGATGATCCACTTATAGTATAGCTTCCATCCATGTGGTAATGTAACTGTTGCCAAGGGACTGAGGATTTTGGTAATTGTATTACCAGAAGCTGCAGATTAGCTAGCTTTGGATTTTGTCAGAGCTTTCCCAAAGTAAATTTTGAAGTTATCACCATCTGGCCAATATTAATTTGAAATTTCCCATCATGAGATAATGCTGAACTGTATAAAGTTGTAAACAAGTACATTTGCAAGTGCTGAGACAAATGAGGTGGCACCAGGGCCTTCTGCTATCAGTTGGAAAACTGTTGCCCCTCTTTTGGAGCTATGCAATCTGTTGTCTCTTTTTTTCCAGAAAATATCCCCCTTTCAAGCAATTTCAGTGGATGACATTAATTTTGGCTCAGTTGAATGTAGCTCTGTGTGCCTCAAGATGCCAGGCTTGGTTCCTCATTCATTGTCTGAGCTTTTCTATATCTCCATTTCATAATGCAGTACTTTAAGTGTTAAATAATTGTAGTCTGTAAGTGTGGTGGGAGCATATTTGGAAGACTATTCATTTGCTATTTGTGTTCATTGGTTTGTAATGCCTTTTCATTGTCCATGATCAAGATTAAATGGATTTCTGTTTTGTACTTCTGGTGTTAGCTACCTGTGTATTCATTTAGAATATTTCAAAGTACGGGATGTAGCACACTAAACAGGATGACAATAATTACGGCTCAGTTGAATGTAGCATTACTTTAGGAGCCATTTCATTGGCAACAATATTTGAACAGGAGTTATTCAATGAGGGATTAAAGTTTGCAGATCAGGACTGCTTTGCACATAGATTTTCCATTGGGGAAGTTACTTGACATACAGTGGTACATTATGCATTGGTACATGATGAACATACGGGTTTTATTTTGCTGTGAACACACAAGGATACATGATTATATATGTGTATTTGTTGCATGTGAGATTATTTGTTCTAATATGTGTAAGAGTCAGGTAAAGAATTGTTAGGAGATATGTGGTGTTTGTGAGCATACCATATGGGAGTGCTGAGAGAAGCCTATGATTAAAGCAGTGGTTCTCAACCTGTGGGTCCCAAGATGTTTTGGTCTTCAACTCCCTGAAATCCTAACAGCTGGTAAACTGTCTGGGATTTCTGGGAGTTGTAGGCCAAAACACCTGGGGACCCACAGGTTGAGAACCACTGGATTAAAGCCTACTTTGTATAATAAACTTGCTACGCATAAGAAGCTGTCAAAGAGAAGAATTTAACTTAGTCTCCAGCTTACTTTTTTGTCCTGTATAGAGAGAACTTTGCTGTAAGAGGCTTTAACTGTATGATCAGCAACCTGCAGCCTGAAGTAGTAATTAAGTCAAGGAATGGCTTTACCATCATGTGTGCAAGAACTTTCTCACTTTTTCTCTGGATACTCTTGGGAATTGTAAGCACAGCCTATATTTACAAGCTATGAGGATTTTAAAATGTTGCAATTCTTTGGGGTTACTTCTGTCTGTTGAAAACCCACATTTTGTGCATGCCTACTTTTAAATGAGTCATTTCAGTATGTTTCTTCAGAAATCCTCAATTCTTGAGGGACACTCCATTCTCCTGTCTTGATAGCTTTGCCACTTGTAACAGCTTCCTGGTATCAAATGCCCTGATAAGTCAACTCCATCTTGCAATAAAGTGAAGTATATGTGTTCATGAGTCAGTGTTATATATAAAAATGTGTACAGATATATCTTACATGTTACCAACTTTGAATTCGGTGTTTCTGTTTAAAGTTAGGTGTTCTGTTTCCAGTTGCAAACTTTTTCCTTATACCAGGAAAATGCATCCAAATATCTTACTGTGACTTGATTATAGTAAGAACAGTAAGGGGGGATATGAAATTGTAACTACACCATCAATTGAAATGTGGATGGCTTTACACATTTTGAGGTGAGAAAAATGACCCTCTGGCATGCGAGATCCCAATGTGATGACTTGCTGTTTCATAATTATGCTTCACGTGAAGATTGAATTCAATCCCAGTGTTTATCTGATATGTACTGGGTAATGTTACGGTGGGTTTCTCTATCTCACTTTAACCTGTGATTATTCCATATCACCAGGTAGAATACACATTAATAATTTAACTGATGCACATTTAACATAACGTGTGTGTGTGTGATTACTGTCATATAGTTTTAATTCTGTAATGTTTTCTGGGTGCTTTGTTCTTCTTTAAAATTGTTTTCACCCTCATTCATCCCATCAGTTTCCAGCAGTGTAAGTGCAAGTTATGTCATGTCTAACGAAATTCTCGGAAAGCTGGCAATGATTGTAGAACCTGCATTTTTCACACACTGTTTATTAGATTTTTGAAAATCATTGATGGCCTAAAACAACAGTTCTCATTTATGTTCTTCTGTTGTATAACTGCATTCATAACTAGTGAAGTAAAATAAAAAATTTCTGCTGTTAGAGGTAAACATTTGAAAACTGGATGTACTTTGTCCTGGTAACCTGGAATGTTGATTTCAAAATAAAGCCAGTTGTACTATACGTTTATTTTATTTTATTATTATTTTTTTGCATTTGGAGAGCTACTCTTTAGATTTATTTAAATTGATTCTTTTTTTCTTTCTAGCATTTTTATTAGATATATTTTGCTTTTACTGTCAAGCTCTCACCATAATGTGATGAAAAATATACTTGAAATTGAGTTTGTGATTAGCGCAAGACATGATTAACTGACAGATGTAAAAACCAGACTGTTTTGAAATACACAATAAACAAACATATGAAAATAAAAACAAAGGAATTTACTTATGAATGAAGAATTCGATGCCCTGGCAATGAGTGCATATATGCTGGAGAAACACAGCATGTTGGATTTTGTGAGACTGGGATTCTGTAGCATACTGTCTATCCTGGTTGCAAAAGCTAGCATCCTAATAGTAATATGCAGAGCCAAAATTGAGGGCTTGGGCTGCCCTTTTTTAATACCTTCTAATAGATGTATTTAGTAACACAAGGCTGCCATGTCAGCCATCTTCCCCTCATCAATCAGCTAAAGGAGTGTCCTGGGCTCATTCTGGCCACTCTTGAGTGATGTAAGAGCAAGGAGCAGCTTTAGCTGGGGATAGATGCTGCTCCTCTTTCTTCCACTATTTAGTGCCATCCAAAATGAGGACAAATATGTCCATGTATTCAATATGACCAATGTGTTCCTGGTAGCTCTCTGGCTTTTGTTGTGCACTGGGGAAAGTAGCCAGGCAGAGGAAGCAACTGTCATATTTGTAGGTTGGCAGGGATGCACAGTATACTATGCCACCATGACAAAGGGTCCTAGTCATAATGACCTACTCTGCAACACTCTTGTAACAGTTTGGGTATAAGTAGTTCCACACACTTCCATTTATCCATTAGATTTCTGCCTTCCTCCCTCTATTCTGACTGAAAAGCTTCAGCAATGTTTCAGGGTTTTTTTGTACATACTCGTAAACAACTGAAAAATACCCTTGTCACTATTACTGCATAGTAACAGAGTTCCTATGTTACTATGTAGGGCTCCCTGGTGGTGCAGTGGATTAACCTGCTGAGCTGCTAAACTTGCTGACCGAAAGGTTGATGGTTCGATTCTGGGGAGCTGGGTGAGCTCCCGCTGTTTGGTCCAGCTTCTGCCAACCTAGCAGTTTGAAAACATGCAAATGAGAGTAGATCAATAGGTACCACTTCTGTGGGAAGGTAATGGTGCTCCATTCAGCCATGCTGGCTACATGACCTTGGAGGTGTCTATGGACAATGCTGGCTCTTTGGCTTAGAAATGGAGATGAACACCACCCTCCAGAGTCGGACGCTACTAGACCTTTACCTTTAAACAGAGTTCTACCAAAGAAGACTTTGATATATTCTAAAACACAATTTCAGTTTATGTTTACTGAAAGAGAAACCTCTGCGCCTCTGCATCATCCAGGACTATTGAGATACATTATCTCCTTGATGTAGTGAAATGGAAATATTCCCCTCTGTATTTTTTTTACATATAGTTTTTCCTTCAAAGTTTTCTCAAGTGTGTCCAAAGTGAGAAAGAAGATCAATTCTTGATTAGTGTCATACAGTTTTAATCCTTCTATATTTGCTATGTGTTTGTTTCTTTTCTGGAAATTGGCCAGGGATCAATAGCCAATGGCTCAGGGGCTGGCACTAATCCAGGGACTGCTGCTTTTGAATTGTACCAGCCTGCGCCACCGATTGAAGCTGCAGTTAATAAGGATGCTTGATTTCCCCAGCCTGCCTGTGGTCCAATTAATTGCCACCTGGAGACATGGAAATGATGTTTCTGAAAAGGGAAACAAAAGGAGAAAATAAAAAAGCACGGCTGTCTCAAGTTGAGTGTAGGATAGGTTCAGAAATGATGATGTGTGGATTCCAGTCTTACCTTAAAATCTATGTAGGCCCAGCATAGTCACATCTGAGCAGAAATCTACAAATAATCCTAAAACTTCCCATCAATACCAAGTATGCTTCTGTTACAGGACTAATAACAAGGGGAAGACAAATCCCCTTCTTGTGAATTGAACTGATGCCAAGAGAAAGTCGCAGAGTTCCAGCAAGTTCAATAAGAACTGAAAAGATGGCTTCTACAAACCCTGATACATTGACCTTAGTCAGTTCCACCTCTCCCTGCTGATTGCAGAATAATATGCCCTTGCCACCAGATTCTTTTAGCAGAAATACCAGAGATTGAAGCCAAGCTTCATGTGCTCTATCAATTGGAGCTATGGCATCCCTCTGTAGCTTTTTGGATCTAAGCCAGTGGTTCTTCAGTTGTTTTGGATTTCAGCACCCACAGTTCCTACAAGTTGGTAAGCTGGCTGCGATTTCTGGGGGTTGAGGTACAAAACAACTGGGAGACCAAAGATTGGGAACCACTGGTCTAAATGGTAGTAAAATACTGCTACCACTGCAGTATTTTAGAAGGTGGCATTTACGGCAGGTGGCTATCAAGGAGTCAGAAACTGTAAGGATGGAAAAATGCTCTCTAATATCCATAGTTGACATCTTGAACAGTGAAAACTTCTGCTTGTTGATTAAGTTCTGTGGATTGTCAAAGGCTTCCATGGCCAGAATCACTGGGTTGCTGTGAGTTTTCCGGGCTGTCTGGCCATGTTCCAGAAGCATTCTCTCCTGATGTTTCACCCACATCTATGATGAACCAACCTGGGCACAGCATATTATTTGAGAACACAGGAATGTTGGACCACTCTAAGAACTACCATGCCAGACTACAGAGAGAAGCCATTGAAATCCACAAGCACATGGACAATTTAAACAGAAAGGAAAAACCATGAAAATGAACAAAATCTGGCTACCAGTATTAAAAAAACTCTAATATCAGGATGGTAAGTAAAGAACAACACTGAGAAAAAACCCAGAGGAATTTCAGACAAGAAACAATCAGGGCCAGCTAATCACCTCCCAACAAAGTATTCCCCCAGGCAGGAAGCAGCCAGGCCTTGAAGTTGCACGGCTATTCAGTGCTAATCAGGGTGATCAATTTGCAACATTCACACTTGCCTCAAGCAGACAAGAGTTCTTTCTCCCACCCTGGACATTCCACAGATATATAAACCTTACTTAGTTTCCAACAGACCCCTCGACCTCTAAGGATGCCTGCCATAGATGTGGGCAAAATGTCAGGAGAGATTGCTTCCGGAATATGGCCAGACAGCCCAGAAAACTCACAGCAACCCAAAGTTCTGTGAATTTAACAGTGGATAATTGTTAATGATATCCTTTTTTTCATGCAAATATTTTCAAAGATTTATTCAAACTAATATTGTTAGAAAATGACCCTGAGTAAGAAATAATGACTCAAGCTACGCCTGAACACTTGACTTATTAATTATGAGCCCTCAGGAAATTCCTCAGGCATCTAAGTCTTATTTTTTAATTGTACTGAAACAGTAATTAATGCTTTGGTTGCTTTACAGTAGCTCATTATAGAGTTCTTGTCATCTAGTCATAGAAGCAATTACTTTGTTGAAAAGTGAGAGAAAAAAATCAGAGCTGAGGATGAGAGAAAGAATTCTGCCTTTCTTGCTGGGAAACTGTTATTGACCTTTTTTGCCACATGATATCCATGCCAGAAAGCAATGGTTTAAAATAAATTATACATTATTTTTATACCTTGTCTTTTATAGCGAGGGTGGGCAACTTGTGGTCCTCTGGACATTTTGTAATGCAGCTACCTACCCTTAGATATACTGACAAGAACTGTTGGGAGTTGCAGTTCAACAACTTATACAGTACCACTGATCTGCATGTGTTCGATCCTGGGATGAGCTAAGCCCCAGCATCAGTTTTTCTGCCCCTGGGACTCTCAGGACTATACGTGTTTACAAATACAACACCCTCAAAGTGATTAGAAATCCATGCCTGGCTTTGAAAATAGGCTGATCAAGATAGACAGCCTTGGCTAGAATATGAATTGCTGCTCTGAAGACTTCCGGGAAATGCAACCCATTATTTTCTATGGCAAGAAAAAGAGATGGGATGTGAGTGGTGGAGGGCTGGGACTGGAAAAACTGCAAGAAGGGTTTGCATGTGACCCTAGAGGCATTCTTTCTTCAATTCCTTATCCTGCTTTGTACTAATATTTTGTTTGTCTTGTGTGTTTGGAGAGTATGCTATCTCTTTTCCCACACAAAGCCACTCTTTAATATGAAATCCTTGTCCCAGGATAAATCAGTTAATATATGCAAGTAGCACAAGTAGCAAGAATAATGTGTATCATCTTGTAGTCCATATCTTAGAACATTTTCTCTATGCCTACACTTCGTTCAGTTTAAGAAATTGGTCACAAGGTTGCTGTGAGTTTTCCGAGCTGCATGGCCATGTTCCAGAAGCATTTTCTCCTGATGTTTCACCCACATCTATGGCAGGCATCCTCAGAGGTTGGAAGGTCTGTTGGAAACTAGGCAAGTGAGGTTTATATATCTGTGGAATGCCCAGGAGAAAGAACTCTTGTCTGCTTGAGGCACATGTGGATGTTGCAAATGGCCACCTTGATTAGCATTTAATGGCCTTGCAGCTTCAATACTTGGCTGGTTGCTGCCTGGGGGGGGGGGGGTCCTTTATTGGGAGGTGTTAGCTGGCCATGATTTATTCTTGTCTAGAATTCCCCTGCTTTTTGAGTGTTGCTCTTTTTTTACTGTCCTGATTTTAGAGGTTTTTTTAAAAAATACTGGTAGACAGACTTTGTTCATTTTCATGGTTTTTTCTTTCTGTTGAAATACTTGTGGATTTCAGTGGCTTCTCTGTGTAGGCTGACATGGTGGTTGTTAGAGTGGTCGAGCATTTCTGTGTTCTCAGATAATATGCTATGTCTAGGTTGGTTCATGAGGTGCTTTTCTATGGCTGACTTCTCAGGTTGAATTAATCTGCAGTGCCTTTCATGATCCTTGATTTGTGTTTAGGTGCTGCGTTTAGTGGTCCCTATGTAGATTTGTCCACATCTGCATGGTATACAGTAGACTCTTGCAGAAGTGAGTCTACTG